ATATATATATATATATATATATATATATATATATATATATATATATATATATATATATATATATATATATTTGCTTTGATTGTGAATGAAGGAGTTTGTGGGACAAGTTTTATTTGTTTGTGTGTATATATATATATATATATATATATATATATATTTATTTATTAATTAATTTTGATGACAATCTTCTATTCCACAAAAGCTCTAGAAAGCTTTTCAACAATAAATTAAAGGAGCTTAGCATATTTCCTCTCCCTTTATGCTTTGATGGTTCAGTTCCTCTACATACGGTTTAATTTTAAAAAAATTAAAATTACATATATAATATAAATATATAATTATAAATAAATACATAGATATATTGGTTTATTCGATACTATATAATCAGTTATTAGTCACGTGTACGTTGACGAAAGTAAGAGTGAACACACGAGCTACATTTCCTTCGGTGTAATATAAATTTGACTATAGTTAAACATCTACAAATTAATACAGTCAAAACTAACAAAATTCAATTAATTTAGTGGCATATTAAATTTTAATTAATAATATAACATATCATTACTTTTTACCGAGTTGGGACTAAAAAAAATTAAAGAAATATTATTAATTTATCAAGGTTATACCATTTAAATTGCCTCTTATACTAGAAATTGCTGGCTATTATATATACAATTTAATTAATGTGTATAATTAAACAATTAATAAATGTCATTAATTAGATCCTCTGGGCCTTGATTCGTCTCTTAACTAAAGCTTTTTGGCTCTGAAAACTGATGATGAGGTTAATCATTGATGATAATTATAACCCTAAAAGAACAATACAATTCTTTATCAATGCAAGAAAATTAATTAACTGGCAATTAAAGCTTAAAGTAACCACTAATTAATTAATTGAATATTATTATTAATGCATGTTATAATAATCTCATGATTAAGTGCATGCATGCAAAGCTTCACCCTTACGTACTTGTATCTTATTATAAAAGATAATCTCTACTTCTGATATTTTATAAGAGTACTCACACACATATATACACATATATATATAATAATAACTCCCATTAATTAGTAGTATAACAAAATTTGAATAATTAAAACAATAAAAAAAAAAATTTAACCATCCACCTTTATTTCCAAACAAGACTACTTTTTTTCCTAGTGGTATATAAAATATATATATAAAATAATTAACAAAAGTGTCAAAATTAACCATATACAAGTTAACTCACTATTGAAATTAACCTCCACTAATCCAACTTTATAGTTCAAACGCTTCACTTTACGACTAAAAATAACTAACTCTTTGATTTACTTTTTCACTTTAATCTTACCTTCTTAATTAATCCTCCTAATCACTAATTAATTAATTAAAGCTGTATGTATAATGTATATATCATCTTCAAAAGAAGAAGAAAAAAAGAATCCCATTCTCTCTTACTTACATTTGTTCTTCAACCTCTTCTCATATTATTCCATTCCATTCTAGAGAGAGAGAGAGAGAGTAGAGAGAGAAAGTCAGAAGAATAGAATGTTCCATCAGAAAAAGCCACCAAATATGAACACTAATAATAGTAATAATAATTCTTCTCATATGTTCGTCGACGGAGATCACTCCGGTCTCGTTCTCACTACCGATCCAAAGCCTCGTCTCCGATGGACCGTCGAACTCCACGAACGCTTTGTCGACGCCGTTGCACAGCTCGGTGGCCCCGACAGTATGTATATAATAAATTATTGATTTAATTGAGTACAATTTGTAATTTAATTTTCTTTTTAATGTAAAATTTGGTTTAATTTGTGTAGAGGCTACACCAAAGACAATCATGAGAGTTATGGGTGTTAAGGGTCTCACTCTTTATCATCTCAAAAGCCATCTTCAGGTAATTTTCAATTTTTAATTTTTTCTTTTTAATTAGGTTTTTGGGATTAATTAGGGTTCCTTGTGATTTAGATTTAATTTAATTTCTTGAATTTCTAATATATATATTTTTTTTTGGTTGCCAGAAATTTAGGCTGGGAAAGCAGCCTCACAAAGAATTCAATGATCAATATTCAATGAAAGATGTTGAGAGAGGTGACTAAAATATATATTAAATTAATTGTTTTTGCTCTAATTAATATCTTTCTTTTACCCTTTCACTAGTCACATATATATTATTTTCTCTCTTTTTTTTTTTTAATGTGGCAGCATCGTCGTTAGAACTTCAACGAAACAATACGTCGTCGTCTGGAATCGCGGCCCGTAATATGAACGAGTATGTTCGAATTGCAATAATTCTTCTTCTTCTTTTTTTTTTAATTTAATTATTTGTAGTTCTTATCAATTCTTGTGGGATTTTGGTTTTACAATTGATAGCAATTAATTAAACTGAAACCGATCGAAACCGAAACCGAAACTAATCAAACTGACACATAAAACAAATTAATATATATTTCGAAAAATATTTAATTTTGTTTTCAAACTGTTTTTATGCTAATTAATTTGTTTATTCCTAATTATTAGGATGCAAATTGAGGTCAACAGAAGACTGCATGAACAATTAGAGGTATAATTAATATCACCAATTATTAATTATTTTTTTACTTATTAAATAAATAATATTTTGATGAACTAATTATAAGTAATTAATTTTAATTAATTAATGAATGCACGCAGGTTCAAAGACACCTGCAAATCAGAATCGAAGCTCAAGGTAAGTACATGCAAACCATTCTCGAAAAAGCCTGCCAAACCCTCTCCTCCGGCGAGAGCAACGCCGCCGCGGCGGCGGCATCGGCGTCTTCTTCAGGTATGTACGGATTCTCAGCCGCAAAAAATTTTCTGCCGCCGCCGCCGCCGGAGAATAACTTCCCGTATCTTCAAGATCTCAACATATACGGAGGCGGCGATCATCATCAAATAATTAGTAATAATAAAAGCGGGAAGAGCCCGTTGATCTGGGCCGATGATTTCAGGCTCCGGGAACTCGGACAATTATCAGCCGTTGATGATGACGACGGCGGCGGCGATGAACGCCACCAGATTCAGTTTACCTCTCTTTCGATTGATCATACAGCTTCGGATATTAATATTAATTAATTAATTAATTACGTGGCGGCGGCGGCTGAGAGGATATGAATCAATTAACCACTGATCGACCTGCTGCCGGCGCCGGCGGCGCGCCACCTGGCTGCAGCTCGCCGTAATATATGTAATCTTTCTTACACACACATTTTTATTTTCCAAAATAATTTACAGGGTTTGAGAGTTTGAATTAACATTTACAATTTACAAGTGTTGTAATAATTCAGTGCACATATGCTAATTGGCGCTGTAATTTTTCGTTTCGCGCGCTAATTAATTACGTAGGAACTTGTTAATCATGTATTAATTATGTTTTAACTTATGGTAATAATATTTTATACGTAAGATAATTGAACTCTGTCAAATGCATGCATGATATATTGTGGTTAATTTAAATATCAGCTGCATGATTTAATAATTAAAATAAATAAATTATATGAAAATAAAAGAATCTAACTTTGCGGACCATTCTTTTTTCTTCTTTAGGGTTTCCATATTCCTTTGGTATCAACTTTGAGCTGCGGTGAAAACGACGTGCTCACTTCTATGTATATTTATTTTAATCCGAGTTAACTCACTCGGTAACTCGCTCTCTAACTACTTGTTATTTTCTTTTGTTTTATTTTTTACAACTCAATTTTCACATTTATTGTGTAATTTTTTTATTTTTTTGATAGAAAGCTCTATTATAATTTGTAAGTGGGGATGAAATAATATATTTTGAATATGTTCTAATTTTTTTCAAGATTATATTGACATTTAAATAAATTTAACTATTTAAAATAAAAAATAAATTCAGGCTTTACGCGCCTGAGGCCCTGAGTAGTAACTAGGCCCAAGCCCATTCAGACAGCAAATCAGCCTAATATAGTAACCAGCCCCACTTTTCTTGCTTGGTGTTTGAACTTCTCTAATGGAAATTTTATTATTATTATTTTTTATTTTTGACAATTTTGTTATTTAAAAAAAATATTAAAACTCTATCATCTATAAAAAAAAAATCTATAACTATAAAATGATACTCGCAATCACGCATATGTACCAAACACCGATGGGATCAGTTCGTCAACATTGGGCCGAACTCCCCATATTCAAGACTGTTGGGCAAATGCCTAATGAACGATAAGAGCTAAGCCCAAAACCAGGACGGGCCACAACCCGTTCGGCCCTAAGTCCCATTGAATGGTGAAAATTGAGATGGATCTGATGTCTTCGCCAAAGAGAGCGTAGTTGTGAAGAGGTTAGATAGCCCCCGTTAGTAAGTCCATTAGTACACTCGGAGACGACCATTGTTACTATAAATAATCTTTCGGTCGTTTTATTCATCGTCGCCGACCCTACATCCATCGAATAGGTGAGTTTTTCTAGCGGTCGAGTGAGAAAGGTATGAGTGTTCAATTTTCGGAGTCAAATCAACTAAAAATAATAAATTGAATGAACACTAACCAACAAATAATAAAAACAACATAATCATAAATAAATAAATAAGAACAGTTGAGTCATAATGGGAAACAAATGACAGATCCAAATCCACTACTCTCACATACCGAGTCAGCGGCGGCGGCGGCGTCACCATCGCCACCGCAGCGCCGCTCCCTGGACGAAACGATCGAACACTGCATCGGAAACTTCGGGCTGACTCAGTTCCTCCAATCCACCATTGCATCATTCGCGTGGTTCTTCGACGCACAGCAAACCTTCATCGCCGTCTTCACCGACGCAGAGCCCAAATGGAGCTGCAACATGAATTCATCAACCTGCACCACCGCCGCCGCCGATATGTGCCGTCTTCCAAAGGGATCATGGTCATGGGATTCTCCGGCGCAAACCTCCATCATTTCCGAGTGGTCCCTCGAGTGCGCCGGCTCGATCACCACCGGCCTGGGAGCGTCTTCCTTCTTCCTCGGCTGCCTCGCCGGCGGCTTCCTGCTATCGACGCTAGCCGACTCGTCACTCGGCCGGAAAAATCTCCTGGTCTTATCTTGCCTTCTAATGTCACTAACCGGATTGTTAACCGCAGTTTCGACCAATATATGGATGTACGCCGGATTCAGATTCCTAAGCGGATTCGCACGTGCGCCGATTGGAACGTGCGCTCTGGTCCTCGGAACAGAGCTCGTCGGGAAAAAATGGAGGGGCAATGTCGGAATAATTGGATTTATCTGGTTTACTTTCGGATTTTTATCTCTTTCGATTATAGCATTTTTCGTGCAAAATTCTTCGTGGCGATTGATTTATTTATGGACTTGTGTTCCTTGTGTTCTCTATTCCTTGTTGGTTTATTTCGCCGTCGAAGAATCGCCGAGGTGGCTTTTCTTCAAAGGGAGGAGGCAGGAATTTGAGAAATCTCTCAAAACCCTAGCTTCGCCGGAGAATCAGAGCAGCCTGACGGAGAGTTTCTTCTGCAACTCCGTCGATTGGGGTGTGGAGGAGAAGCCACGGGAATACAATTTGTTTTCTGCTCTAGGGATTTTGCTGAAGAGACCGTGGGCTTTCCGGCGGCTGATTTTGACCGCCGCGGTGGCGTTCGGGCTGGGCTTGATGTACACCGGCATGCCGTTGAGCCTGGGCAATTTGTCGGTGAATCTGCACCTGAGCGTCGCGGTGAACGCGCTGTCGGAATTGCCGGCGTCTGTGGCCGCGATTCTACTCGTCGGGAAATTGAACAGGAGGGGATCGATTTTAGGGCTGGCTGTACTGAGTGGGGTTTGCTCCGCCGCGTGCGCGGCGGCGGTGACGTGGAAGGGTTTGCAGGTATCGCTGGAGCTGGTGTCCTTTTTCTGCACGTGCGCCGCGTTCGATGTGTTCATGATCTACGCGCTGGAGCTTTTCCCCACGTGCGTGAGGAATTCGGCGGTGGCCATGGTGCGGCAGGCGGTAGCGGTCGGCGGAGTTGTGAGTCCGGTGCTGGTGGCCGCCGGAAGAAAGAATGGGTGGGTTTTCTACGGCGTTTGCGGCGGAATTGTTTGTGTAAGTGGGTTGTTTGTTGTGTGGCTGCCGGAAACTAGGGGGAGGACGCCGTGCGATACCATGGAGGAAGAGGAACTCAAATTTTGTGTTTAAAAAATCATTTTGTTCGACAGCAACCCCTAAGGTATGGTGAAATTACGAAAACCCCCCTCTCCTCTTGTTTCGGTAATTATAACCACCCCTCCTTTTAAATATTTTTACTGTAATTCGGTTATTTATCGAACCAAATCGTATATTCAATTCTGTAAACGATATCAAATGTTGGCGTACCGAAATTTTGGTTCGGTTTTTACCGATTTAACATCCCTAACTTTTCCTCTAGAGGGGTTTTTTCGTAAAATAATACATATTTGAGGGGTGGCTGTAATTACCAAACAAAAGGGAGATTTCATTATTTAACCATAATTTGCCCTTTTGTTGATTGACTTTTAATACTTGTGTTTAATTTTAATTGTAATACTTTATTAACCAACACTAAATACTAGTATAATCTACAATTTAGCTAATGTATAAATCAAATCAAATCAAATTATTCAATACTTTGATATAAAATTGTAGACATAACGAACCCAATTTAAACACATATATCAAACTATTGGTGTTCGCTTTGATGAAAAGTTTATTCCAATTTGACCCTATAACGGTGGATGTGTAAGAAGATTTATAATTGAGTAAGTTATTGTAATTACGCAAACAAGAAGGGGGTTTTCGTAATTTAACTTTACCTCGTGGAGGTGGCCGTAATTTACCCTATGTAAATTAAAAGCGAAAACTATGTACTGTATTTCATTTCATAAGGTGTAGCATCTACAAACCACAAATCAAAGTTGGGAAACTACTTGACGTAATTCATCGAGTGAAGCATCTACAAAGTAACCACACGATTTTCTCTCTTCAAAACATATATAAAGATCTCACTCTTGTAACTTATTATTACAAATCCAAGTACAATGCTCCCAAAAACTCGGACCAATTCGATACTTGTGGTGCGGCAAAAGTAGAAATATAGTAGCATATTAAATTAAATGTTCAATTAAACAAAAAAAACATTGAACAAAATCTCTGCTAAAAACCTCAAAAATTCCGAGGAGATGATTCAACGTTGTTAAACACGAACAAACAGATAGAAATCGAGGATTAATCCATAAAGGCTTTCAAATTCAGGTCAGTCAATACCTCTGTTTCTTGTAATTCCGAATGACTGGAAGCACAAATCTTATTCCGTGACAGAATATACTAAGTCGAGCATGGGAACGAACAGCTTACTTGTAGTTCTGAGAAACCTCCATTATAACCTTATCCATGAACTGACATTTCTTGTCGAATCCCCACCCTGGGTTGCTCTGCGTAATTTATATCGATCGGAATCGAAATAATCACATGTTAGTGAAGATATCTTAGAGATTTTAATAACATTCTTGACAAAATAGTGCCTTCTTAAGATTTCAGATTTAGTACCGCAGACTCGCATAAAGACACGCAACAAAGTGATTTTCACTTCATGCTATCTCACTAAAATTTAGGATCGCATTACTACGGCAGACTAAATTCTTGTGTCTCGCATATATTAATTCATGCATTTAGGGTCACCATACGTTTTTTTCCAACATCAAATAAAGCTATAGAATAACGTAATACTCTTTCTTCGGAAAACAAACACGTGTCCTACTGGACTTAAAACCATATTTTCTGAGAACGGTGTCGAGCACATATCAACAAAAAATAACAAATCCCATGCTGAGGTCAAAAAGTCAAGAAAACGGTAATTTTATAGCACGATATACAAGTCCAAAATAAATCGAGCATTTTCACCTGCAGTGAGAGAAGAGCGCGCTCCGTAAAACGCTTTACAGAAGCAGGTGCACTAGCTGGGAGTGTCTTGGCAACTCTTTCTAGCTCTTCATTCTGTTGCTTGGCAGTTACTCTATCGGGCCCACTATAATGGTCTACAATCTCTTTGATAAGAGGGACATCCTTCATCGTTTCTTCTATAATTTTCTGTAAATCATATGAATACGAAATGTGAAAAGAGAGCATATGAATACGAAATGTGAGAAGTGCATCTACTTTATTCGACGAGATGAAAGTTTTAGTGCCTTCAGAAAGCTATTAAGAAATGCTTCTGCTATTGAACATAAATGAGGAAATGTGGGATACGGAATACTTCATAGATAATCACAAAAGTACAAATAAAATGTACGAGCACCAATCTCCAAATGTCTTAGTTGAAAAGGAGCATTCTGCAATTAAATTAAGCTTACCATTTATATCATTCCGGCGAGCAGGATAAGCTCCGATAATCAACCGACACATTTCAGTACTAAATTGGGACACACACAATTCAAAATAGCAAAATATAGAACGGGAACCATAGAAACATTTTATAAATCAAGTTCCGTGCCACCGTTGCATTTCTACATATTTGAATGCTCCCATATATATACTATTGCTATCTTTTCTTATCCAAAACCCCAATCTCAATTGAGATTCATTTCCGATTTCCATTTATTTGTAGAAGGTTTCGTGGATATTTTCTCAACCAATTTTAAAAATCGAACGACAAACATAACCATGTTTCGGTTAATTGCACTAAATAGTGAAATCACGGCTACAAACCAACATACGAATTTCCATTGAAATAAGAATTCAAAACCTAAAAGTAGATGTTATTTTACCTCCCACTCTTCTTGATCCTTAATCCCTTCGTATACCATGAGGAACGGCTTCATCTTCTCAAGAGCGTCGCGAAGCGGAATAGGAGGTTTCTCGTCAATATCAGGATTCGTGCCGAACTCCTCCATCAAATACTCCGGTTCACATTCAATCTGCACAAGAAAACCCCCAAAACAGTACGACAAGAGATTAAACAACAAAACCACACAAACTCGACAGTACATAATAAAACCATTACCCTTAAGTTAGTTTCAAACGCATCCATATAAGCATCATCGAAAGGAGACGGCAAAACCCTGCTCGACATTTCATCAATCCCTTCCGCCAGTTGAGCCATAACATCCGGTCCAAGCTTCTGTGCCACTTTCTCCTCATCGGCCGGATCGCCAATAAAAAGCGCGTCCGATTCATCATCGGATTCTTCGTATCTGTCGTCACCTCTTCCTCTTCCTCTTCCCCTTCCCCTTCCTCTACCTCTTCCTCTTCCTCTTTCGCCTCTACCACCTCTACCACCGCCTCGATTATCTCGATTATCTCGATTATCTCTAACTTCGGGTCTACTTACCCCACCATCTTCGTCTCCCTTAGACAATATCTCTTTCGCCTTTTTAACCATCTCCTCCTTGCTCAATTGCACTGCTGGCGGCGCCGCCCCATCGGAAGAAACCGCCACCGGTGGTTTGCCCTGAGGCGGCCTTTGGCGGATATGGCGATTCTCTGATTGGGGCTTTTCGGGTTGGGCGGCGGTGGGGGGTTTTCCGGGCTTTCCACGACCGGCGCCTGATAACACGCTGACAATGTCGCTCCGGAGTAGAGTTTCTTGTGCGGATGGGACCTCAGATTCGGCGGCGTCGGCTTGCTCCTCCTCGTCCTTGACGAAGAGGAACGGCAGTTTGACATTAGGTTTCGGCGGCGGCTTCTCGGAGGGCGATTCGGATACTCGCGGCGGCGGCGGTGGTGGTGTGGGACTAGCGGGAATAGCAACACCACGGCCGCGGCCTACCGGAGGGGGTTTTGATTCGTTAAGGAAGGAAGAGAATGAAGGGAGGACGGGGGATGAAGGTAGGGGTGTGCCTCTGCCGCGGCCGTGGCCATACGACGGCGGAGGGGTTTCAACCTCGGTTTTTGAATTTTTGTCGGTTTGGTCATCGGGAGAGGCGTCGACGGTGAACTGGAACGGGGTACCACGGCCGCGGCCTCTACCGCCGCCACCGCCGGCGGCGGATGAGGTGGAGAAAGCGGCGGTGATTGAGGAAGCAGTGGTGGTGGCGCGGTATGGAATCTTCGCTAAGCTACTTCTCATTTTGAGAATTTGGGAAGAACTCAGTCGGATCGAGAAATGACAGTGTGGCTATAGGGTTCTGTAATTTGGGGGTTTCTTCTTCCCTCTTTAATTTTCTTTATTTTTATTTTACTTTTTTTTAATCGAGATCCATTAATAAAAATTATATAAAATAATCTTAAAACTAAATAATAATTATTAGGGTAAAATTACAACCACGCCCTGAGGTGAAATTACGAAAACCCCCCTCTTGATTGGGTAATTACAACAACCCCTCAAGTATAAATTTTCTTACGCGTCCACCCTTGTGGTTTCAAATTTAGTGAAATTTTCTTGATTATATGGAATATTATCACTTTTGTACCCGTTTATCCCATTCGAGCTCCACATTTTGAAGAAATATGATCATAAGATGTGTTTTTTGGCTTGTATATATCAGATTGTGGTGCGACATCAGAAACTGTATTTTTACACAAAACGAGTACAAACTATAGCACATTTCATAGAATCTAGATGATTATGTTGAATTTGACACTATTAGGATTGAGGTGTGAGAAGATTCATAGTTGGGGTAGATATAATTATCCAAACAAGATGGTTTTTTTCGTAATTTGACCATACTTCAGAAGGTGGTTGTAATTTACCCTAATTATTATTATTATTATTTAAAAAATTGAATTGTTGGCTCCAATTGTTTACTTATTTTTTATTTTACTATGTGGACTTGAAATTTACTCTTTCTGTTGTCATTAAAAAAATTATTCTAAATCCAGAATTCTCAATGCAACTTAAAAACAAGGGTAAATTACGAAAACTCTTCTGCTCTGAGGCTAAATAATAAAAAACACTCTCATCTATCCGTAATAATCAAAACCCGTCTCTGATTAACTATCGATTGAGTTTTTTAATAGAAATTGTGAACAGTTTATTATAACTTTTGTTAAATAGGTGAGAAATAAAAGAAAATATCTCAAATTGTGTAAAGTCTATTCACGTAATAATAAAAAAAATCGTGAAAAGTCACATTGTAAGGGGGTTGGTGTAAGGCGCAAACAAATCTCATAGGGGTTTTGGTAATTATGAATAGGTGGGTTTTTTTTCGTTATTTAGCCTAAGTTCAAGGGATTTTCGTAATTTATCCTAAAAACAATGGTAAATTACAACCACATCCCTGAGATAAACTATAATTACAAAATAAACATCTTTATTTTGAGAAACTACATCCAAATCCCTACAGTATGTAAATTTCTTATATCCACCCCTGCAAAAGGAAGTTAATTGAAGAAATCTACAAATTATGGGGTAGCGAATGTAATCATGAAAAAATGAAAGGTTTTTTCGTAAATATAGTCCTTTAATTGGGCCTTCGATCCATACGCAACTAATTTCTTTACGAAAGCCCAACTTGAAGACCACATTCAAGAGTCCATAAAAAAGGCAAAATGTTTAGGGCTATTAAAAAAACTAGTAATTGTACCTGTGCGATGCACGGGACAACAAATTGCATTCTTTTGATGTTGTAAGAATATAAACAAACGTTTGATGTATCGTATGATCAATATTCTATTATACTGGAACATTATTAAGTATACTACACACAAAAAAAAAAGAACATAACTTTACTGTTGAATAATTTTCCAAATGAATTGAATCAGCTAATACCAGTAGATTGAAAATTTGAACCCGGAAAAAAATCATCAATTATGTCTTCCATGTTGAGCTTAAAAGTAATTAGATTTAATAACTAAGTTAACATAATCAAAACTAAACTATCGACAACATACCATCGTAAAAGGCCATCTATACATCTTGCATCGGAACTAAGCTCTTCTCCACTGCCTCATTTTAAGGTTGTTTTGTCACTGGAATTAACAATTGGAAAATTAAGAAACAAAAATAAATATAAACAATAAATTAAATATCGCATACAAACAATAAGTCTTGAAGGTCGACTTCCAATAGCTTGTGGCTCCGCCCATTTTTGGTTAATTTTCTCAAATCATCCCTTTCAATAACATGTCCAATAACATATAAAATGAAATAATTGTTATACATAAAAGTTGAAAACTTTGGTATAAATTAATGAAACACATAATTTAACAAAATGAAATTACCTATAAGCCATGATGGAAAAAGATGTAAACTAATTGCCACACATGCAATAGGATGAAGAAGAAGATAAGAAACAAAATCTAAAGTCGGGTTACCAAAAGAAGAAGCCTTAGGAAGGGAAGAAATAAAATTCAAATGTTGCAGACATTCTGTAAAACGATGTCACAAAATCCGCTAGGGATGAAAATCAGATTTATTTACCCTTTTCTGTAAAAATCGAAAATCAGATTATTATAAATAATATATAGGAGAATTTGATGAAAATCGATAATAATATTTAAAATAATATTTCAGAGATAAAAATTTGATAAAAAAATCAAAAAATAATATTTAGGAGATAAAAATCAAAAATAAAATTTAAAATAATAGTTAGGAGATAAAAATTTGATAAAAAATCGAAAATAATATTTCAAATAATGTTAATGAGATAAAAGTTGATAAAATATGAAAATAATAATTAGAATAATATTTAGGAGATAAAATATGATTAAAATCAAAATTATTATTTAAAATAATATTCAGGAGATAAAAATTTGATAAAAATCGAAAATAATATTTAGGATACAATAATCTGATAAAAAATGAAAAATAATATTTAAAATAATATTTAGGGGATATAAATATGATAAAATTCAAAAATAATATTTAAAATAATATTAAGGAGATAAAAATTTGATAAAAATTGAAAAAAAATTACAAATATGACATTAGGGTTTCTTAGGGTTGCCCTAGCGTTTCTTTCTTTTATATATAAGATATCTAGGAGAATTTGATGAAAATCGATAATAATATATAAAATAATATTTAGGAGGAAAAAAATTGATAAAAAAATACAAAAATAATATTTAGGAGATAAAAATCGAAAATAAAATTTAAAATAATAGTTAGGAGATAAAAATTTGATAAAAAATCGAAAATAATATTTCAAATAATGTTAATGAGATAAAAGTTGATAAAATATGAAAATAATAATTAGAATAATATTTAGGAGATAAAATATGATTAAAATTAAAATTATTATTTAAAACAATATTTAGGAGATAAAAATTTGATAAAAATCGCAAAATAATATTTAGGAGACAATAATCTGATAAAAATCGCAAAATAATATTTAGGAGACAATAATCTGATAAAAAACGAAAATAATATTTAGGAGATAAAAACCTAATAAAAACATGATAAAACTCGAAAAAAATATTTAAAATATTATTTAGGAGATATAAATTTGATAAAATTAGATAATAATATTTAGGAGATAAAAATCTGCTAAAAGTTGAAAATTATATTTAAAATTATAGTTAGGACTTAGGAGATATAAATTTTATAAAATTAAAAAAATATTATTTATAATAATATTTAGGAGATAAAAATAAAAAATAATATTTAGGAGACAAAAATCTGATAAAAATAAAAATTAATATTTAAAATAATATATAGGGGATACAAATATGATAAAATTCAAAAATAATATTTAAAATAATATTAAGGAGATAAAAATTTGATAAAAATTGAAAAAAAATTACAAATATGACATTAGGGTTTCTTAGAGTTGCCCTATCGTTTCTTTCTTTTATATATAAGATGATATACTCCAATTAGTTCAGGTAAATCACCATAATTGTGTATTAAACTATTAATTATTAATTAGCCATGCATCCAATATTCATCATAATCACACTTCATATTAATAAAAAAAAAAACATTTGAAATTTAACAATTTAATTAAGTAGCCATTGGCCACTTAAAGTTAACAATTTGATTAATAATATCAATCAAAAATCACAAGCACACCACACACAGAAACACCATACAAGCAAAATTAAAGAAAAATGACAATCAAAGCCCTCATCAAATAAATAAATTCAGCAAACAAAAGGATCATCAACATGATCATCACTGCAGTAGAGACCAGGGTGCTGACTGAATCCCTGTTTCGTCAACAGCTCCCTCGCCTTAATAACCAACTTCTGGTTACTAACTTTCCCACCCGTTTCTTCGATTATTCTCTGAACCGCATCGCTCAGAGCTCCATAAGCTAAGCCAGCATCGCCCGAAGGAGTGACATCAGCAGAAGTCTCGTCCGTCTGACAACCACTGATCAAAATCCCGCTATCTGATAGTACCGATGCACTGTTGTGCTTCTTCTTGTGTTTATGGTCGATATAATGCAAAGCTAAGCCCCCAACGACGCCCAAAACCACCCCCCCGACGACTAGGTTTTCGTGTTCTTGGAGTTTGCTGAATATTTTCTTCATGAAACTCTTGATCTTGGGGGTGGAGTCTTCTCCGAATATTGAGAAAAGAGTCGGTCGCAGTTTGTCTGCGGTTATATCGTTTTTGCCGGTTTTTTGCTGGAGAATCTCCGTTAGAATATGGAGTGGGAGGGATTTGTTCTTTATGTGGTGGCCGTCTAAGGTTTGTTGGTGGTGGGGCTGCTGCTGCTGCTTCTGGTGCTGGGGGGTGTGATGGTGTTTGGAAGAGATGTGAATGCCTCGGGATTCGATTGCGCCTTCGACACTTTTACGCACGAAGTTTCTAACCCCGGAGATGGACTCGTTGTTGAATGATTTTTGCTTTTTGGTGCTCTCTCCGATTTGCTCCTTTGCTGCGCTGATTAGGCCGCCGCTGTGACAGGAATCGGATACTATGGTGATTCTGCATCCTTTTGGTACTTGATCTACCAATGCTCGAAAATCATCATCTGATACCATAAAATAAAAGAAGAAAAAAAAACACCAAGTTATAATTCCACAATTCAGTAATTCATAAAGCAATCTTTCTACTAAATAAATGTGTGCAAAAACGAAAGACTTCAACTAAGATATCTCGTAAAAGTTCATTGTAATGGTTGAAATCGTTCAGATCGGATCAGATCAAAATAAGAACTTACAGTAAGAAAAAAAATGTACTTCCTCTTTTTTTTTTTAAGTGAAAAACTTATTTAATTCCAATCTTACAAAAAATATAAGAATTTGGAAATCGGAATTTCAAAAATTGGAATAAAATAACCCGTTCAAAAGTCGGAATTTTTCGGTTTAAAATCTACAGAATTCCAATTTTTTTAGTCACCTAGAATATATATAAAATGCATAATAATTTTCATATTACAAGTGTAATTTTTTAGAAGAAAAAAATCATAATTTTTGGAATTGTTTTCAAAAATTATAATCGGATCCGAAATCGGAATCTCATATCTATTTCAAATCCGATAAAGAAAAAATGGAATCGAATTTTCAGAATTCCGAATGAAAATTATCATTTCGAAATTGAAAAAATTAGGATTGAGCACGGCGTAAATCTAAAATTCTGTTCCAATCCACTCATAGTTTATTGCATTCATCACTCCTCATATTATTTTATTTGTAAATAAACCCATATGTTTCATTTTTTTACAAACGACCCCAAAAACTTACCTTTTAGGGCTTTTGTGCTAAACAAATACACTACAAGGGCTTTATTTGATAATATTTCTAATTCGGGTGGCTATTTAGCAATTTGATATAAAAGAAGGTGCTAAATGCAATAAACTACATCTCATAAACATGTCTGCGCAGAATGTAGTAGTTATGTACGCCCAAGTCAAAGCATAGTCGCCGGAGCACAAAAAACCATTTTCTCATCTTTTATTTATTTACAGCTGTAAAATTAACGTCTCCGAAACAATTTAAAATCAAACAACAATTGCGCGTGTGTGTGTGTTTTTTGTGCGTGTTGTGTGTGTATGTATATATACGTACATGGAAAATTACGCAGCAGACGATGAAGAAAAGGGGGAGAAATTGAAAACCTAACTAACCGGTAATCAGATTAATATCCGTGGGGACGATGCACTCGTCGTATCCGGTTTCGTCGTCGGGGTTATCCGACGGGAGGCGCACGCCGTGGCCGCTGTAGTGCACGAACAGAGAGTCGCCGGGGGCGGCGGAGCACACCAGATCGACCAGCGCGGCGCGGATATTCCGGCCGGTCGGCTGCGTGTACGATTCGTCTGTGTCTATCAGCACCGCTATATCCTGCTCGGCGAACCCGTACCGCTCAACCAGGCAAACGTACATCCGCAGTACGTCGTTGACGCAGCCCCTGAGCTCACCCTGCGTTCCAGGGTAGTTGCAGCCGATCAGCACCGCCTTCTTCGCCATTGCTGCAACTCCGATGTAGAATCTGAATCTCCGGCGCCGTTCTAATTTGGGAATTCTCTGTGCAGATGCTCAATTTATTGGCGGATTTCAATGTGGAGAAGGTGTGCCCAAATTACTATGATTTGAAATGTTAAACGCTTTTTTTTTTTTTTCCCTCATTTGATTAATTATAACTTATAATATTTGTTACAGCTAATTATTAAATATTTTTGTTATTATTTCAGAATAAAATACTTTGTTGATACCAATAATTAAATGGTTTATTTACTAATCTTAAATAATTTTTATTTAATTATAAATATAAGAAGACGAAGCTAAAATTCTTCTAAAGTCAATGGGTTTTTTCTCGAATCATTAAAAAGTCAACGTTAATTGTGTGCAATTACAAGCAATATGAAGGACTGGTTTCAAGCGGACGTGCTGAATGGTCCTCTAATATAATAGACATCCCTTATTATTAAAGCTTATTTTTATTATTTGACAAAATCAATTCAATGTTTTTTTCTACAACTCAAATGAATGAACATATTCTTTTCGTATTATGAAAGACGATTTACAAACCCGATAGCTAACGCTAACTTTTACGCTAAAATTCCTAATCTTCGTCTTCATTGTCGTCATAGTCTACCACAAATCCGACGTCTTTGTTCAGAACCTGTTATTAGGATAACATTTATGGGCAAATGGCAAAAAGGCCCATCACATGGGACTTAAATGCATTTTAGTCCACAAAAAAAATAGTCTCTCAATTAAGTCCATCCCCATGTCTTTAGTCTAAAATACCCTCAATAATATAATTCTTATCAATTCCACCCAATATGATCTAACTTCCTTAATATTACACATTGACCGCGGATTTAAACAAATATATCACATTAACCCCCAAAACTTTTTTTTTTTCAGAAAATAATTTTTTTTTTCTGAAATGTTTTTTTTCCGGCCAGATTCCGGCGTTGACTTTTTTTTTTTTTTTTTTTAAATTTTTTTTCCTGAATTTTTTCTCCGGCGTTGATTTTTTTTTTTTTTTTTTTTTTTTTTTTTTTTGAATTGTTTTTTCTTAGAAAAAAAATATTTTAATTAATATTACTGTTTTGACTAATAAATTACTGTCTCAGACAGTAATATTATGAATATTATTTTTCCGAACAGTAATATTATTAATATTATTGTCTAAGACAGTTAAATTACTGTTGGAGACAGTAATTTAACATCCAAGACAGTAATATTAATTAAAATAATTTTTTTTAAGGAAAAAAATAAAAAAAATAAAAAAAAAGTCAATTAACAGTTAAATTACTGTCTCCGACAGTTAAATAACTGCTGGAGACAGTAATTTAGCAACGAATACAGTAATATTAATTAAAAATATTTTTTTTAAGAATCAAAAAGTCAATTAACAGTTAAATTACTGTCTCCGACAGTTAAATAACTGCTGGAGACAGTAATTTAGCAACGAATACAGTAATATTAATTAAAAATATTTTTTTTAAGAATAAAAAAGTCAATTAACAGTTAAATTACTGTCTCCGACAGTTAAATAACTGCTGGAGACAGTAATTTAGCAACGAATACAGTAATATTAATTAAAAATATTTTTTTTAAGAATAAAAAAGTCAATTAACAGTTAAATTACTGTCTCCGACAGTTAAATAACTGATGGAGACAGTAATTTAGCAACGAATACAGTAATATTAATTAAAATATTTTTGAAGAAAAAAAAAAACAGTCAATTAACAGTTAAATTACTGTCTCCGACAGTTAAATAGCTGCCGGAGACAGTAATTTAGCAGCCAAGACAGTAAAATTAATTTAAATATTTTTTTTAAGAAAAAAAAATAAAAAAAAGTCAACGCCGGAGACCCGGCGGTCAACGGCCGTTACCGGCCGGAAAAGGAAAACAAAATTCAATAAAAAAAAAAAAAAGTCAACGTTGGAGACCGGCGGTCTCCGGCGGTCAACGCCGGAATCTGGCCGGAAAAAAAAAAATTCAGAAAAAAAATTATTTTCAGAAAAAAAAAAGTTTTGGGGGTTAATGTGATATATTTGTTAAAATCCGGGGTCAATGTGTAATATTAAGGAAGTTAGAGCATAATTGGTGGAATTGATAAGAATTAGGGTTAAAATTGGGGTCAAGATTGAAATTAGGGTTAAAATTGGTTAATTGATGAAATTGGGCTAAATTGGGGTGTAAATCATGAAATTGGAGTTGAATTGGGTTTCAATGAATTATGGATAATTTTGGTATATATAAAAGGATTTTCCTTATTTGCAAATAAGTTTGAATGGGGTGGATTTATTTGGAAGACAAAAAAGTTGGATGTCCCTATTTTAATTAAGTGCCCTTGTCATGGGCTTTTTTGTGATTACCCCAACATTTATTATAAGTTCTCAAGGCATACCCGAGATGTATCACGGCTCCGTTTTCACAACCCAATCTATATTTTTCTAAATTCAAAGAAGAAATCATTTGTCGAGTTCATTTGAATTACATTTTGCACCCCATAATTAACCCAAATTGGCGCTTTGCACCCTTACATTTCAAAACTGATAAAAGTCCACCCTTAATTTGTATTTTTCATAGCACAATGCACCCTACATCAATTTCTTATGAGATTTTAGTCCAAAAATCAATATATAATCACGATATTTTAACTTCTGAAATAACAATTTAAAGCCTTATTCTAAATAATCCATTTAATTTCTATCAACTATACATTTAAAAATAATATGAATGTCCTAGAATTCTTATTCTATTTTTTATTTTTAATAAATATTAATTTTATGGAAATTATGAATTTTGAAAATTAAAATTGAATCAAAATTATAAATTATATGTATATTTCTTTACTTCAATGCAAAACATATAAAATAAAACATGAGTTATGTTTTAAATATAAATACAAGTAAAATAGTTAGATAATATTAATTAAGAAAATTAAACTTAAAAGAGTAATGAAAATTCCTTCAAAAGTGTAAAATATCGCGATATTGATTTTTTTGGCTGAAATATCACAAGAAATTGAGGTAGGGTGCAATTTGCTATGAGAAAATCTCTTCGGATGGGCAAAAATAACTTTTTTTTTTCTTTTTACCTAAAACTGAAAAAAAAGACACAATATATACAAATAAAGGCGAAAACTCGAACAAACGAAGATCAAAACTAAAAAAACTGATACATGTAAATCGTGTAAAACAAACACTTATGAATAAGTCCAATCAAATGTAATTCACGAAGTTTTTAGATGTGTGATAAAACAAATATATGTTCATAATTCAAATTCAAAAAATATAATTTCCTCGAGGGTAAAAAACAAAAACATTGAGATTATACATTGAGCCCAAATTTTCAAAACCATTTTGTTATTTCAAAATCAAATTTCATATATACATACCCCAAATTTGAACGTCGAAGCCCAAAAATAGACGGGCTTTGTTACCGTTAGAGCCCAAACTTAACCAACTTTAATTTTCTCTAATAAATAAAAAAGCGTGTTATAAGTGAAAAGCGTCAATTAAGTGAAAAGCGTGTTTTCCCCAAAAGACGAACGTCCTTTGATTTCTGGTCTCCCTCCCTCCCATTTCTCTCTCGCACATAACCCTAGAACCATTGCTTCATTCTTTGAATCCATCAATTTTGTAAAATTAGGGCTCGATACAGTTCGATTTTTTTTTTGAATGAAGAAAGAGAGGCAGACGAACGAACGCCGTCTGTAATTTTTTCTGCCGAGGAGGAGGTGGTGCGAGGGATACGGCAATCAGAAATGCCGCTGTTTATATCGGAGGAAGAATTCCGGCGGTGCTCGGACGACGCCGGGGTGGTGGCGGAGAAGGCGGACGCATTTATCCGGGAGCTGTACAGTCAAATAGAAACGGTCAAGGCGGAGGCTGACGCCGGTTTCATCACCCTCGAGCAATCATGCTCCATCATCGAGCAGAAGTACGTCTCGCTTTCTGGGGAGTACTCTTTGCTCCAGTCGCAGCAGTCGGAACTCAGCTCTTCGCTCGAGAAACGCACTTCTGAACTCCGGCAAGTCGAATCCGAGAAGCAGCAGCTCCTGGTCCAATCTGTGAGTTTGTATTTAACTTGAAAACTTGTTTTGGTGTGTTATTGTATATATGATTGTTAGTTAGTTATGTTTTGTGTTTTTGTTTCACAAAAGACTGAGAAAGATGGGGCAATTGAGAGGCTGGCAACGGAAGCATCAGAACTACACAAATCAAAGAGGCAGTTAATGTTAATGTTGGAGCAGAAGGACTCGGAAGTCAGCGAGAAAAATGCTACCATTCAAAATTATCTAGATAAGATTGTACGTTAAACCCTACTTCATCTTACTTTCCGACGGAGTTACTTTTGTTTTTTTTTAATCGATGGAAGTTCAGTGATATGTATGCCTTGAGTACGAGAGAAAAATATTTTTATCAATTATACCTGATTTTGGATTTTAGTTTAAGTTAAATCTTCCTGGAATATTATGCGTTTCATAAATAACAAACACTTGGTTTACAATGTTGGTGTGCATTTATTTATTGACTACATTGTTCTGAAGCTCAAATTGACTGAAAATGCTGCACTGAAAGACGGACGTCTGGGTGAGCTGGAGTCTGAACTGGGACGGTTGCATGCTACATCTTCACGTTTTTCGCAGGTTAGTCGATTTTGTATCTCGCATGATGATGTGTGCACCTTGCAGTTTCACTATTAGATTAACAGTTTCTTATGAACTATATGAATTTGTTATCTTACATGCACGCACTATTGCTTTATCTATTTTTCATGATTCATATGCATCTATCTTTCTTCTATTAATCGACTGGCATTTGGAGAAGAGATGTTTCCTTTTTAGGTGACATATTGAACATCTTATCAAGATGAAAATATATGTAGAGGACCAAGAGGTTGATGATTATTGATAATTTCCTTGGTTACTGGTTGATTGTATACTCTATAGAGCAGGTTATTGATTGCTTATTTCTTCTATCGTGATGGTCAATTACTTGTTGGGTCTATCTTATTCGAAAACCTATATTTAGAATTAGAAACTATGTGAGCTAACATCAATTCTGCAAGTTGCATTTATTAAACACTTAAAGAGATTTTATATTTTTTAAATAATAGTACATTCTATACTCAGTCAACTTGACATCTACCAAGTGGAAATTTCTCTGATTTGCCACAGCGTACATGATTTAACTCTAACATTTAATTCATTTCTTCCAGCATATACCGTCATGCTATGCTCTCTGTCAGTAGATTTTTGACGTAATGATTACTTCATTTATTTTTTTGGTGGACTATTTTCTTTTTGGTAGGTATTAAAACCGGGTTGGGGGGTTTGGGAGTGTGGGTGGGTAGTGCAATCCTCGTCCTTGGCCACTAGAAAATAACATGAAACCCGACCCACCCCGTCCTCGTTTCGTATAAAATTATAATACCCGTGCCTCACCATTTGCTGAGAGGGTATTTGAGCGGTCCTCTTAGGATTGATATCACTAAAACTGTGGGCACTACTAATATACCTTTTGTTAAATAATTTGGTGTGGATCAGGAAAAGGAGCTTCTCGAGAGGCATAACGCATGGCTTAATGAGGAATTGAAAACTAAAGTTGATAATGTTCTTCAGTTGCGCAAAGAAAATGGAGAACTTGAAGCTGATATGTCCTTTAAGCTTGCAGATGTAAGATTCATTTTCTTGTATTCCGTATCACTGATAATGACTCAGATTGTAGAGTTTTCATCTTCTATGTGAATGCATGTACTAATCCATGCAATCTTTTTACTAATTCCAGGTTGAAAGGAAATTGAAGGATAGCTCTAGTTCTTTGAAATATCACAAGGATAGAGTGAAGGAGTTGGAGGAGAAACTGTCATCCATGGAAAGAGTGTGTTCTTTTGCATGCCCTATCTATTCCGATTGTACTATTTGAATTATATTCTTTTGTTGATTTTCCTTCTCCTTAATTATATGTCTTGCTTCTCTAGGAATTACTGTCGACTAAAGAAGCAACTGCAACTGCGGAAGAGCATTTTACTGCTGAGATTTCAACAGTAAGTTTTGCCATTAGATAATGATTTTTAACTTAATCTGGTCACCTCATATTCTTGGAATATGTTGGATAAGATTCATCGTTTAGCTCCATAATGTTGGATCATAAAATTCATCAATTAGTCTGTTCTTGTTGTGTTCTGTTTTTGTACCTTTTGATTGTTGTTGATGAAGTGAAAATAGCACCGTCAAGTAGCTCCATAAGGCCATACATATTCACTTCGTTTAGTCTTCCATATTTATCTTGTGGTTGTGGTTTCTGAAATGAAAATAGTGGACGGCTACTGGTATACTTACAAAGGGGACAGTATTTTGTTGTTTCTGAACAAAGGTTTGATCAGAGCTATTTCTGCTCTTTGTTCTGAAGTACAGTGATCAGCATAAAGAAACACGAAGTTCTTTATTTAGAGAACTTATTGTTGCTTCTGGACTGTTTGTTGCCTGTATGTATTGTTTCAAGCTCTAAGATTTTTATTGCCTTCTTAGTTATAGAGGATATTTGGTTATGAATTCATTTACATTATTATTATTTTCTTAAGCAATGCATTGATTGCTGTGAAATCTTCTTCCATAGAGACCGCTCTTTGTTCTCTATCTGTATTAGGCTCTTTGTTCTGTATCTGTATTAGTTCTTTATATATACACACAGAATTGTTATGTCAAATATGTGTTCTGTTAGACTGCTGATATGTATTTACATGCCTTTTTATTTGCATAGGTTACCAAGCTTGTGGACTTGTACAAGGAAAGTTCAGAAGAATGGTCCAAGAAAGCTGGAGATCTTGAGGGGGTCATCAAGGCATTAGAAGTGAGTGTTGTGTATAAGTTGTTTTGTTCAAAACTGTTGAAAGACGGGCTGGTTATCAGTTTTCATGCAGGAACACAGTTATTTTTGCTTTACTAATATGATAAGTGTACTTTTGGAATGTTACAATCTATGTTGTTACTGCTGAGCAGACTCACTTGGATCAAGTTGTAAGTGAATATAAAGATAGGCTTGAGAAGGAAGTTTCTGCAACAAAGGAGCTGGAAAAGGTATGTCACGATAACCATCTAATCTTCTCTCATCAATCTGTATCTTTTGTTTTAAAATACGCACACACACACACACACACGTATATATATATATATATATATATATATATATATATATATATATATATATATATATATATATATATATATATATATATATATATATTGGGGTTTTTAATCTTCGCTTCCTTTTATTTTAATTGTGATAATGTGGTTTAATTATTTGGTTACTGATTTGTTTTTGTTTTTCTTTTTGCTCAAAGCAGGAGTCCGCTGATTTGAAAGAGAAGCTTCAAACTTGCGAAGCAGAACTGGAAAATTTGAGGAAGGGAAACGAGCTAATACCTCTTCCTATGAGTAGTTTTACAACTGACTCGTGAGTCACTTTGCAACTTTGAATGCATTTATAGATGAAGCTTTCAACAATTGTTTTCACCTTGAGATGAGGTTGTGATGCATTTGCATCCTTAAATGAGGTTGCTGTTGAAGACATAATTCTGTTTCTCAGAGATGTTCGCACACATCGCTGACTGACTTTGCAGTGGAGAGGAAACTCATATATTCCTTTCTAATTTATGTTACTGTATCAATTATGTCTATTGTTATTGATGACCACACTGTTTGACCTTGTGATGCGTTGCTCCTTGAGATGAGGTTGGGTTGGAGTTATAATTCGTCTGTACTGAACTAGAAGTTTACAACTCATTAGCACGGATGTATGATTTGTGTTATTGATGTTTTCTTTCTTTAGTTTTAGATTGGCAAATTCTGTTGATGCTGATCAAATGGTCGAGGATGATCGAGCAATTGTACCTAGGATTCCAGGCGGTGTTTCAGCAACGGCTTTAGCTGTTTCACTTATTAGGGATGGATGGACTGTGAGTTTTAATTTGTTTTATTATTCTTGTAACAAGTCTCTCGAAAGATGTATAACCTTTGCTATTGTTTGTTCATGAAAGAGCACAAGGCTTGCTGTCGTTTATCGACTACTTAATTTTTATTATTTCGTGCTAACATGGGGTTTTCACGTGCTTTGTGAAGCTGAACAAAATGTATGTGAAATACCAAGAAGCTGTCGACGCACTACGCCATGAGCAAATGGGAAGAAAGCAAGCCCAATCTATCTTGGAACGAGTATGTTGTTCTGAACTTCAATGTTTGGATTTTGGATATAGTAAATTTACTGTGATATTATGGAATTGCTATTGACATCTCCATTCATTGACAAAACCAATGATAAACCTTGTTCTTGTGGACCCTTTCATTAGCTTTGAATTTTCCTATTACTTCTGTTCTTGATTGCTATGGGTAGTAATATAGGAATCAAGACTAGAAAGTGATAATTTTGATGTATGTACTTCTGTGTTCCGTGTAGCTGCTAAGGACGTGTCACCTGTTTTCCTTTTGATGTTTTACATCAATCAACGTGTAATGCTGCCAATTCAATGGGCGACTTGATTGGAAAATGTTAATATTTACCTTTTTAAGATACTTGCGTATAGTTCCTCTATATTTATGTTTTATTTGTATGGTTACTTTCCACAATAAGTTTTAGATCTGGACTTTGAAGGAATCATAAAAAATGTTATAAGTGACGAAGCATGAATTATTGATCCAATGGGATAGAACTATTGTGGTGGTGAACATAGAACTTGTGGATGTTTATAATTGGTAAAAAGAGCTAAAATATAGATTATACATGCCCCAACAAGAGAAGGTTGGAGATGCTCTTATTAACACTGTGTGCCTTTTGTAATAATATACTAACTTGTTTGGCCTTTTTGGTGTTTACCACAAAAGTTTGTCAAGTTGAATAATGTACTCTCCATTTTTCTTACACATAGGAATAAAACGGCGTTGCTATGATTGTTGGAAGTTTTTTTTATTTCCAGTGACTATCTTGTACTGTTCTCTTTAGGGTTTCTTACCTTTTGTGTTGTTCATCCTTAGGTGCTTTACGAGGTAGAAGAAAAGGCTGGGCTCATCATGGATGAACGAGGTATGTGCTTCCTATTGGGTCCCTACAAATCACTAGGTCTTCGTCAGTATATTGACTTTACTGTTACTTTTCTTTTCACGTTAAGCTTTCTGCCTATTCATATGCTTTTTGGATATAGCTTCTGATGGTGAGAGCTGACACAATAAATTTAGCTTCTGCTTTGGACTATCTACACTTTCTCCTTCCGTTGTTGTATTTCTTTGTTTTCTAAACAATATTTTATGCATTGGCAGAAGAAAACTCAGTGAAATACATGCAACTCGATATATTTGGTTTAGAGTATTGCTATAAGTCTCAGTTGATTTATTTGTTAAGTCCTTTGCTTGTTACATTTTTATGTTTCTTGTCGTCGTTGCAGCTTTTTTATGCATATATGGTGAAATCTCAGTAATTTTTTTTGAATTGATCATTCATGTGTAGACGAACATGAGAGACTTGTCAAGGCTTACGAAGCTTTAGATAGAAAACTGCAGCATTCACTGTCTGCTCATGCTGCTTTGGAGATGACCATTCTAGAGTTGAAGGTTTGAGATGTCTTCTGTTAGTATAAGTTGGTGTTATAAAACACATTGGTCTCTATGTAGTATTTTTTTGAGGTTTGTGAATGCCTAACTGTTTTTCAGGCTAGCTTAAAGAGGCAGGAGCGGGACCATGCTGCAGCTCAGAAGGAGAATATTGACCTCCGGAAGCAGGTCTGGTTGAGAGGGGATCTTATTTTTTGTTCAAGTGTTTAAAAAATTTGTTTCTGTCTTTACAAGGGGATTTACTGTGAGAGGCCTTTCAAAAGAGTAAGGATATGGATGTATCACTGATGTAATTAATTGGTCTTGTTGTTTATACAGGTAGCTGTTCTTCTAAAGGAGTGTCGTGATGTGCAGTTGCGTTGTGGATCAGTTTCTAGTTATAATGACGATGAGCATATTGTTGGTCCTTCAATATCAGGGAATTCTATATCCGACATTGAGGATATCATAACGGAACGACTGGTATATATTTTTCGTGTTCTCTATTCTATTTATTTTTATTTCTTTACTTGATAATGAGAATTTGAATGGGTATTGAGCCCTTTTGTTTTGTGCAGTTGACATTCAAGGATATAAATGGATTAGTTGAACAGAATGTTCAGCTGCGGAGTCTTGTTCGAATCCTTTCTAACCAGATTGAGGAAAAAGAAGCAGAGTTGAAGGTATTTTCAAGTTCATTACTTGTTATTTTCAATACACTCAGCTTTATCTCCTTAATACTGAGCTCATAGATGTCCTTTATTTTTTGTCAAAATTTTTAGGACAAGCATGATAAGGAGCTTCAGATGCGTACTGAGGAGACTGCATCTAAAGTTAATGCAGTGTTGCTAAGAGCAGAGGAACAGTCCCACATGATTGAATCACTTCATTCTTCTGTAAGTTTTCTTTAAGTAGTTGGTGTTTCTTTCAACCCGTGTCCGTTGGTGAAGTTTATCAAGTGACACTGGAAAACTTGAATAGGTGGCATTGTACAAGAAACTATACGAGGAAGAACAGAAACACCATTCTCATCGTACTCATCTGCAAGAAGCTGTTCCAGGTTTTTTCCTGATATCTGCATCTTTGTTTATATCCATCTGCCATCCTCTTAAAGACCGTGCTCTAGATGCTAATTCTCCATTCTGTTGCATCAACTTTTCGTACAAAGTATTTTGGATTTTGGTTAATGTATCAGTCATAATAGAAGTATACATTATAGAATGTCTTCCTGCCTTCTGTGGGTGGTTTGATTGGCTATATAGTGAGAAATGGGTTCCTCATCGTTGATTCCTAATTTTACATTAGAAACACATGTCAAGTGACCCTAGTGAGAAACATTATATACTATTTGGTTATTGATTGGATGTGAGTTCCATGGCAATTAGGAAAATAATTAGTTCAAAGTCAGTGCTGGAAGATTTGAAATCCGTTCTAAATTGATTAGCAAAGCAGGTGGTGAATAGGCTAGAATGGATTTGTAACCTGTAGCTCCCATGTACTTCTACTAAGCACAACCCTTTATCTGTGGATAGAGCTTATAATTTACCGTAGGTATGTTGAGGTGGTGATTCTATTCTACAGCAGACTGATAAATAAGAATTTTGAATTATAGATGCTTGTGTTGCTCCATTAATTTTATTGGCTGATTTTAAATTGCAAGTACAAACTTGAAGTAACTTTACATCCCTGCATAGCTTATATACATAGTACTTAATAAAAGATGAATTGTGAATACTGTTTACTTGGAGTAACTTTACAGCCCTTTATCATATTTATATTGTTTCTGTCAAGTGCCATTTTTATTCCAACTCCTGTTTTTCTTCTCTAAATCTTTCTGTGTGTTATTATGGTCTTTTGTTCTCGTGTTAGTAGTTGTTTAGGCAAGCTTGGTTATATATTGTATTTTCTTGTAGTTGTATTGTTTGTAATTTATTCGCTGGTATATTCACTCACATAAGAGGTTTTCTTGGTGCTGCAGAACAAGGAAGCAGAGAGATCGTGGTTTTAAATGAAAGTAGTCATGTACGTAAAATATCTGTCAAGAAAAAGAAAGATCCATATGCTACGTATCTCTTTTCCTGTCTATACCCTATTTCTCTTATTTATGGATGTGATACCTTGCAGAGTACATCAAGAAAGGTGCAAGAACAATCTTCGGAGCGACTAAAAAATCTTGAAGAAGATTTAGCAAAATCCAGGTTAACTATATTTGCCTCTTAATTGATTTTTTTTTTCTTTCCAAAATTGTGTTTCTTCATCTTTTACAGTTTCATTTTTTTCTTATTTCTACTCTATGCTGTTCTTTTGGATGTTTTTTCTGCACTTGTTAGTGTTAGACTTTCGAGTGATGCATCCTTCCCCTCTCTAACCAAATTGCTAGAGATATTCTTATTAGTACCGGTGATTAAATCATGTACTCTGGTTGTTTTCAAAATAGGAATGAGAAAGTAAAGGGTTGCATAATGATGTGCTCGCTTGATTGTTTTCCATTTGTTAATGTAATCTGTGGACCTGGTTAAAAATATGGTCGGACTTCTTGTCAAATAAGTTGTGTGGCGTCAAAATAATGATTGTTGTAGTTTTTTTTAGTAAATTTATGACCATAGCATTATGTGCTTCATACAATGATGCTTTTGTTTAGAAGCGACTTCTACCTCTACTTAGATTCGCCACATCCGTTTGGTGCTTTTGAAGGAACATGACTTTCTAACTCTAGTTAGCCCTACTTTATTCACTAATTTGCTTGAATTTATTTTTACCTAGGAATGAGATAATATCACTGCGAAGTGCGCGTGAAAACGCAGCATTGGAAGCAAAGTTGGCACAAGAAAAACTTGACAGATTTATGAAGGACTTTGAGCACCAGGTTAACATCTTTGAAGCTGCTATTTAGTCAGAGTATGGTTTTGTTGTACATTTGAAGTTTTGTTTTGCACTACCGGGCTAATATATATGGCTTCTTTTACGGTTTGTGTCAGAGAGAAGAGCATAATGGAGTCTTAGCGAGAAACCTTGAGTTCTCAACGTTGATAGTTAACTATCAGAAACAGCTACGTGAAAGTGCCGAGTCTTTAAATGCGTCCAGTGAATATTCTCGGAAACTTTCTTTGGAGGTGGCTTGTTGTCCCCTTTTTGGTAATATTCTTATTGAATATCTTGTAATCATAATGACGGATGTGATATATTTCTTGTAGGTAGATAATTTGAAGCACGAAAAGGAAATGTTGAAGAACTCGGAGAAGAGAGCTTCTGATGAAGTTCGCAGTTTATCAGAGAGGGTTTATCGGTTACAGGTCTTCATGATTTATTCCATGATATATTCTGTGTGTAAACATTGTTTTGTGCCAGCAATTTTTACGAAACATTGTATCTTTGTTCAGGCCAGTTTGGACACCATACAGAGCACTGAGGAAGTGCGGGAGGTAGTCTTTCTTCTTCAAACTCCTTTCATATTTGTTAATGATTAAGGCTAACTATTAATGTCTTCATGGTTTAGGGGACTAGAGGTCTTGATAGGAGAAAGCAAGAGGAGTACATCAACAACATGGAGGTAACTTTTTCCTGCCAATTTGTTGTCTATCCTGCTTGTGGATTTAAAAGTTGTTTTCCGACAGTGTGCATGAAAAAAAAATTGCTGGCATTTTCATTTTCTGGTACATATTTGCCTAGATTTGTTTTCATTTTGCCTGGTAATGTAATATTAAGTATATCTATGCAGAGAGAATGGGCTGAGGCAAGAAGGCAGCTCGAGGAAGCGCGAGTTAATGCTCAACATCTTTCTATTGAGCGTGAAACTGCCTCAAATAATGCTTTAAAAAAAATTGAGGAACTGAATAAAAAATGTGCTGACGCATTGCAATCTGTAGCAGCTGCTGAGAATAGGGCTGTAGCTGCGGAGGTCCGTACTCTGAAAATTCATTCCGACGTTAATATTTGTGATTATTGTATTACATTTATTTTGTAGACGTATATTGTCTGTTTCTTCGATTAAGCGGTGGTATTTTGACTGGCTTGAATTTATTATATCCAGGCTCGCTTATCTGTTCTGGAGAAGATTATGGAATCTGCAGGAACTAAGGTATTTTCTTGGCATTTTTATACTCTACTGCTGACTGCAACACCACTCCATTCCCGATGAAATGTAAACAAAAAAAAAAAATTAACTATAGCAAACGCATAGATACTTAACGTGATTCTATCTGTTTCATATGTCGCAGGATCCTCATAGTTCTGAAGGTGGCCAATCCTCTTCTTCTAGTGAAAAGGTATTTTAGTTACTCATTTGTTTCCATGGAATATATTGTTTTCTTACCAGCACAGTTAATGCAATACCCCAATGTTCAAATAAATAGATCCATGCAAGCATGATAAAAGAACATTAATTTCCTCCTGTTATGCCAGCCTAATCTTGAGTTGGAATGAATCTTGTTTATAAAAATAGGTTTCTTCTTTTACACGTCTAACCGGAAATTCATCGTATCCTAATAAATTCAACAGTTGCCTTGTTAATTGAGATAGAACAAGATCATGGTTTCCAAATTGTTTGAGACACAAGGTTGAAACCTATGAATTTGATTCTATTGAGACTAAACTTACCTCGCACATGCAAATCATCCTATTTCCTGATATTCTCTCGACCCTCGTAGTGATTTTTTTAATGAATGAAATGAGTTGCGGATGGCACCTCTTGTGATTGAGACATTAGTTTATGTTTTCTGTATCCCTTGCTTCATGTGTATATTGAACCAATTATATTGGCGTATTAATAAATATTAGGGCTCTTAGTTATGCAATACATTTTGGAACATAGAATGTAATGAGATCTGATCACGTAGGGTATTTAATAAATTTTAGTGCCCTTAGTTATTCAATTCATTTTGGAACATCAAATGTCAAATGTAGGCTTTACATAGATTGATCTCACCACAAGGGTTAACAGTGTAGATTAAATTTCTCTTATAAGTCACATGGTTGGGTACCTTTGAAGAACTGCTATTGAGTGCCTTGTGTGAAATATTATATTATTTTATTATTTATTTATTATTACGCCCCGTGCGCCGCCCCCCGCCTGAAAGAGAGTGAGTTCTTTGACTACCGAATGCTTATTATCTGGCTTTAATGTTATAGATATTGGCTACTTACCGTGACGAAATTGAAAATTTGAGGGCGGAAGCCCAAGCTAACAAAGAACACATGCTTCAGGTATGTGACTTCATATTTGTGAATTTTTATCTCTCCTTTCAAGTACTAAATTTTATTAGTCTTGCAGTACAAGAGCATAGCTCAAGTGAACGAGGAAGCACTCCATCAAATGGAATCAGCCCTTGAGAACTTTAGAAATGAGGTATTTTCTTATGCATTTTAGTGTCCACTTCTTACATGCTTGAACGTCATAGTCTAATGCAATTTGTGATGTAGGCTGATGAAGTTAAGAGATCACTAGAAACTGAGCTTAATTCACTTAGAGACCGTGTTAAAGAACTTGAAGATGAATGTAAAGTGAAGACTGAGGAAGCACTTTCTGTTAATGCTGGAAAAGAGGAGGCTCTTGCCGGTGCTTTATCTGAAATTGCCAGACTGAAGGATGATTACTCTGTTAAAATGTGAGTATTCGTGCTTAGTATCTTTATATGAAGTGTAGTTAGTAGCTATTTGAGACCCATAATTTGGTTAACGTATAAAGCTGATGAAATGGAAAATGTGATACTTCATTGAGTTGATATTTAGTTGACTTCAAACATTAGTTAGTAGATTCGATTATCAATATCGATTGAATGGAATAGTTAGGTTAATTGTTATAAAGTCCTTGAACATGGAAATTGTGGTACTAACTTTAGCTGAGATGTAAGCGAAGTCTAAGAACTAATTGGTAAATTGTTAAGTTGGAGAGAGGCCCACACTTCGTGAAATTTGGAATAAAATTTTGAAAGATAAGTTATTTACCCGCATAGAAATGAATGACGCAAAATTAACTTCGAGAGAAAAGTTTGAATGTTTTTAATATTTTGTTTCGCCGGGTACTATCGGAAAAACCTATTTACTTGAAACATGGCCCAACTGTTTAGTCTCATGACTCTGAAGAATGATCCACTGTTTCAGACTTCAAGTCCGCTGTTCTCACTCTTTACTTCTGGACATGGAAAAATTCCTTCAATTCCTTCTTACTGTCCTTAGCTCCCGTAATCCTACGCTGTCCTACTTTTTGTGTTCACATGGCATTATAAACAAAATCTTGGAAGCAGGTTAGAGAAAATCCCAAGAGTTATTTTTTTTCGCAATACCGTAAATAGGTACAAAGAAATAATGGAATGAAAATTAAGTAAATCTAGTAATGTTAGCTTACTCCTTTGTCAAATTCTCATAGTTTTGTTTTTTGTTTGTGCACTAAATTAGGTCACAGATCGTGTTGATGGAATCACAAATCTCTGCCTTGAAAGAAGATTTGGAGAGAGAACATCAAAGATGGCGGGCTGCTCAAGACAATTACGAAAGACAGGTTTCATTCAAAATTTTCCCTTGCCTTTTTGCTGTTTGTATGATTTGATAAATACATATGTGAACTTTGATAAATGGAATATTGACCTTGTTGTCTTTCATTTTTTTTTATCAAGGTTATCCTACAGTCAGAAACAATTCAGGAGCTGACAAAAACGTCACATGCCTTGGCTTCAGAACAAAAGGAGACATCTGAACTCCGTAAAGCGGTGGATCTGCTTACAACCGAAAATGTACGGTCCTTTTTATGTTGCATTTGCAATCTTATTCTCAAATTTCCATTTGGTTCTATTTATCTTGCATGTATTATGGGAGTCGAATGAACTGATGAGGTCGAGAATAATGAAGAATATATGTTCCTGTTGGGCAAAAGTCTAACTAGTCACATCATTAAGAGCTAATGTTGTAATAAGGCTACTATTTCATTCGGGTAGGTGAAATAAGCTTCCAATCCAAACCTATATATAGTAATTACTTAATGAAAAAATGTTAGCTTTTGAATCCATGGGAACATGTGGCAAGTCAGACATCCATCTCAACTGACTTGCCTTCTAATCTCGGAAATGTATGTAAGTCAATAAAATGTTGTATCTCTTAGCTGGCATATCCTAGGATGATTATACGGGGAAACGATTGGGGCATTTTCATTGTCTTCCAAGTTATGTCATGCTTTGTATTTTCGTCAAATTTTCTGACAATTCTCCTTATTGCTGCAGAGAGACCTCAAATCGAAATGGGAGACGGAAATATTAGCTATAGATGTATACAAGAGTGAAGCAGACAAGAAATACAGTGAAGTTGATGAACTGAATAAAATTTTGCACAGTCGGCTTGAGGCCTTACATATTAAATCAGCAGAGAGGGAAAGAGGATTGGCTTCTGGAACCAGTTCCCATGATTTTGCTGCTGATGATGGGTTGCAGAATGTTGTGAATTATCTCCGGCGATCAAAGGACATAGCTGAAACTGAGATCTCTTTGCTTAAACAAGAAAAGCTTCGTTTGCAATCTCAGTTGGAGAGCGCAATGAAATCGGCTGAATCTGCACAAAGTTCACTTCACAAAGAACGAGCAAATTCTCAAGCATCAATTTACTCCGAAGAAGAGTTCAAATCTCTTCAACTGCAGATTAGAGAATTGAACTTACTTCGCGAAAGTAACGTGCAACTCAGAGAGGAGAATAAGCATAATTTCGAAGAATGCCAGAAACTTCGTGAAGCAGTCCAGAGTCTTAGGAGTGAAACCGAGAACTTGGAGAAGCTTCTTAGAGACAGAGACTCTGAGTTGGAATCTTCCAGAAAGGAGATCGAAAGTCTAAAGATTGAAAAATCGCATCTTGACAAGAGGATACACGAGTTGTTGGAGAAGTGCCAAGGTGTTGTTGATATTAACGATCATAATCGCCTGAAAGAATCTCTTCAGCAACTCCAGACCAGTTCGAGAGAAAATGATGCACAGTTGGAGGAATATAAAAAGCTCTTATCAGAAAAGCAGGACAATGTATTACAATTAGAGCGTGACTTGACGAGAATCAGAGCAGAGTTGAATGAGAGAGACACCAGAATTAATGAGCTATCGCAGGCTGAGGCTTCTTTGAAATCCGACACTGAAAAAACTAGGCGATTGAATGCTCAGCTGAAGAGAAAGTTGGACAGCTTGTCAAGGGACAAGGAGGAGCAGAGCAAAGAGGTGCAGGCCTTGTCAAAACAATTAGAGGAAGCCAAGCAGAAGAGAAACACAGTAGATTCTGCTAGTGAACAGGCTCTCAGAGAAAAGGAAAAGGAGAAAGACACCAGAATACAAATCCTGGAGAGAACTTTGGAAAGGCACCGAGAGGACCTGAAGAAGGAGAAAGAGGACTTGAAGAAGGAGAAAGAGGATCATCATAAAGAAAAAGAAAAAAGCCACAAGATCCGGAAAACAATTATCGAGTCTCGTGAGAATGTTCTTCTGCGGGAGGCAAAGTTTTCGGATGAGCTAAAGAAGCATCAACAAGCTCTGGCAGTGGTCGAAGAAGACGTAGTGAAATTAAGGAACTCTTTAGGTGTTCAATCCGAGGGTACATCTGCAATTCAGCAATTTTCCAGTACCCTTTTGGAGGACTTTGCTTCTGCTTATTTCCAGGCTGTAGAGAATTTCGATCAGGTTGTAAAACCAGTTTGTGGTGATCTAGATTCTTCCGTCCCCACTGATGCATCATCACTTGATAATACATTATCTTCTGGAGCTGGACAAGCCTCTGGACCACCTGCTGCAAATGCTCCTCCTTTAACAAGAACAACCGAAGCAAACGATAGAAGACTTGCTTTAGCGAAGGCAAATATTAAAATGGGAAGGAAACTGGTGCGCCCTAATATTGCAAAACCGAAGGAGCCTCAAGGTGGTGATGTTGATATGTCTGAAGCAGACGAGTCCAACACCGTGCAAGGAGGAAATGCAACTATTGTACCATCAGCAGCAACTGTTCCATCATCCAACACTACAGAAAGTCAAGGAGGAAATGCAACTGTTGTACCAACAACAGCAACACTTACACGTAAGCGACCATCGGCTTCTTCATCATCCGATTTGCAAGAGGAGACGCTTGCACCCGAAGAAACAGGCTCCGATTTGCCGCTGAAAAAATTGAAAGCATCGGAAGAGACCCCACCACAAGAGGGCGGTGAAGATTTATCCGCCGTTCCGTCAAAGATTTCCGAAGTAGTCAACATCGAGGAATTATCATCAGACTCTAAGGAGGAGCCTGTTGACCTTGAAAAGGCCGAGTCCGAAGCTGCAGAGGAGCAAGTGGAGGAACAGCCGACAGTGGATGAACAGATTCAGGTTGAGCCAATGGTAGAAGCAGGCGAAGTTGTTGTAGATGAAAAATCGGAGAAGCCAATTGAAGCTGTTGTGCTGTTATCTGACGATCAATTGAGGGACCAAACAGAACAGGACATCCAGCGAATAGTTTCGGAATCTGGCGGCGATAGAGAAGAGGGAGAAGTGGTCGGAGATTTTGCTGATAATGATGATGACAGCAATGTGTCAACTGAGACGGGGGAATTTCAGGCTGAGCAGTCGGTAGAACCCGAGAGTTCACCGATCAGAGAACCACCCGCTTCGGCAAGTTTGGAGGCTGGGGAAATCGAACCTTCGCAGGCTCTAGAGGAAGAAAAGCTTGTTGAAGGTGTGGATCAAGCTGCTGAAACTGAGAAGGCGACTGAGGAAGCATCGACTAGCACTTCTGAACAAGGTGGAAAACCAGTATCGCCTGTGAATAATAGTATCTCAACTACTATTAATCTACAGGAGAGAGCAAGGCAGAGAGCTTCATTAAGACAGGCTGGACGAGGTGGAGTTGCTGCAGCAGCACCGGCAAATAGCAGTTCGACTTCTTCGCCTAGCAGAGGTCGGGGGAGGGCTGTTCGTGGACGCGTTGCACGAGGTGGCAGAACTGCACGTGGGCAGTCACCTGGTTAGGAAGGTTAGTTATCTTTTCTTTTATCCTTTTCTTTTTTTGTTCTCTGATTTTATTTGTGTTCATGACTGGATGATATTTTATGATATGCTGGCATGACATCTGATTTTTTTTGGTCGATATCTTTAACGTGAGCTATATTTTGTACTTATCCGTGCATTACTCAGTAGTAATATTTCATAAAAAAATTCAGAAAAAAGGTTGTTGGGACGTGCCGTTTCCCATTTTGCTATCTTTTTTGATCCAGATTATATTGCTTATTTTGCTATCTTTCTTAGGAACTAGTTTGTTTGCGTTCAGTTGCGGTTGGAAAACCATTTAAACCGGATAATGTATTAATTAAGTTTTAATTATATATACATCTATATGAATTTGCAATATAAATTGCGCATGTTAAATAATGTTGAAAAGATTTGCAAAAAGACCTGTAAATTGTAAAAATGTATCTTAGCAAAAAATATTTTTAAATTGTAAAGCAAATTTAATCGGGCAACTAGCTCATTGCCTTCCTGGAGTTAACGCCTTTTGCTGCCTGACTCTTCATATCAATGCATAAATTACAATTTAAAACAAAAAAAATTCACATATATAATGTAAAGGGCTTCCGGTTCGCATGCGCATTGTTATAACCCGTTTTTTTGGTTGTTGCTGATTAACGATCTTGCATTACTCTTGCTCTTGGATTGGATTTTTCCTTTTTCCTTTTTTTTTTCTTGTTAATGTCGGATTAACCTTTTGATTTGTTATATTATTTCTAATTCCATACTTTGTAACAGGGTTCGGGACGAAGAATTAGCAAATGTCACAGCCAAGTGGGGTTAAAGAAATGTATTGAAATCTTCATCATGTCATTGAAGAGCTATTACGCATTCGAATGTGATTAAAAGTGAACACTCGCACTAGTTCTTTTTTGTCGGTCCTTTAATTTTCATATGGGATTAGTTGGCGTATGATGAATTCTAGGTTTAGTTTACATGCGAGATGTGGAGTACTATTACCCATCTATATGCATTATTGGATCATAAAATTACCAGTTTATAATTATTGATGAGAAGCATTGAGTATTCTACGGATGAGATCGGCCGGGCCTAAACTTTAATTTGGGTCCTTAGGACAATTCATAACAAGTGAAAATAGTGCTAAATCGAAATATACTATATATCTCACTTTTAATAGTAATATATCAAGGTTAATTGAACTACATGCCAAAACTATAGTTCCATTTATTGTGATTTTAAATCTTTGATTCAAAGTACACGAACACAAACACGCATTTGCTTTGCCTGCAATTTTAATTGCTCGGTCACCGGTTTATTTAACACAGATACTGCTATTTTGCATCAAATCTTCTTAAGAAGGGCCTTCAAATGTGTTTGCAAGCTTGTGAGGTTAGTCGCCATTTCGACAACATAAGCCAACTCTCCGTTAACCATTTCAAAGACTCGATTTATCTCTTTTACCTGCCACCACAAATATTAAAGTGTCAAATCGAATATTTTCACTATTGTCTTGCATTTTAATTGGATATTATTAAGTGCAGTTAAATCAAAGGCGGGAAAGGAAGTATAGGAAAACGGGAAAAACGAATCGAACATGTTCCGAATACAAGAGAGTGAAGGACTTAATATTAACAACTTCATGAAATTTTAAACGAAAAAAAAAACAATATCACATTTGGAATGAGCAATAAATGCGTAAAATCGTGCTGAAATTATACATATCATATGTATATATGTGTGTGTATTGATTTACCTTGGAAGCATTTCCAACAAGAGCACTCTTTAGCTTCACACTTCTCTGTTCCGCATCATACGTTCCTTTCTGCAGAGTAAATCAAAAGCCATAGCACGAGATCGAAGACTATTTAATCAAATCAAAATGAATCGATCGATCATACATTCGATTAACACGTACATAAACGAACATTTCACAACAATCGAGCTTGCAAATTACGATATTATTACCTGGACTTCGACAAGACCATTGCTCTGAGCAACGACAACTTCGATAGTGCCGTCGTTTTTCGGCCTCCAGTATCCACTCTCAGAATGCATAGGCTCTCCACTGTTCAATTTCCATGTCTTCGACGAATAAGCTATCACTGGCTTTAATCATTACCCCAAAAAAAAAAATGAAATTAAAAAAAAAAAGTTGAATCTTGAAACCCTAGTTAAATTGAATTTCTGAAAATAATGGGAAAAGGGTAACTTATTACCTTGTTGGGGGAGTGGGAGAATTGGAGCTCTTCGGAATATTTGAAAGGAGAGATGGTGGGGAAACTACCCTCCCCTTGTCCTCTCCACGTTCCCAGCAGGTACGATAGCGGCTGAACCGCCGGGTGCACCGACACTTGCGGCGGCGACGGTGGAGGGACGGCGGCCATGTCTACGGTTTAAGTTCTGACGGCGGTGGTGGTGGTTTGGATTTGGGGTACCTCACCTTCTCCGCCTTTTTTTTTCTTGTAGATGCAGTTGCCTTTTTTTGCAATAATGTCAATAGTCAATAACTATGCTAAATTCAAAGGAACCTATTAATTTGCTCATTCCTTTTCACTTTATTAATGTTTTTTTTTTTTTTTTTTTCTTTTGTAGTTTTTCTTGGCTTATTATAAAATTGACAATGAAGATTTTTTTTTTTTTTTATAATTATAAATAACATTTTATCGTTTAGTTTGTAAGATATTCGATGTTTTTATATTAGGTAACCGGTTCGCCCGCAAAACACCGAGGATAATATTATGGGTTCTTTTGGGAAGAACATTACTCACTCTAGGCTTTTCTCAGTCTAAAGAGGAAGAATACTCGGCGGATTCATGCCTGAGTTAGCACTCCGATGATTGGGTTAATAGTGGAGTATGATATTCCAAGTCCAAATCATCTGTAATACGAAATCTGTTAAATTCTGACATTATGTATAATTTCTACCTATATCATAATTTGTAGTATTTATCATTTTCTTCTTTTTTGGTTACAATCTACTCATTTAATCGCGCGCTATATATTTTAACTTTATAATAAATTTGAATCTTTTAGACCAAATATATTACTAATATTTATTAAAAGAAATCAAATTTAAAATTTATGAGAAACAATCAAATCTAAGTATTATATATACAAAAAAACATTATAATACATCCAATTGTAGAATAACTCATTATTATATAATTTTGAGAAAGTGAAAATACAGTGTAGAGAGAGAGAGGAGAGAGAGAGAGAGTGGTAGGCACAAAAAGATGAACAGAATCTTGCAAAATTAATCCCCACCACGATTTCAGAGCTCCGAAATCCGATCACCGCGTCTCCTCCCAATACCCAATCGGAGCCGCCGCCGCCGCCGATTGACCGCTTCCACAAAAAAATCCTATTATTTTATTATTATTATTTATCTCCGAATTAATTAATATATGAAAATGGTTTCCCCAATATTTATTTCCTTAATATTATTCCTCCTCGCTTCCCGCAAAATTCTCTCCTCAATCCCCATTTACCAAACCAATGGCGATGATTATTGTAGCAACAACCGAAACAAAGTCAAATACCAAACAAACCCCTCTGCACGTAGATTGCCATGGATTTCACCTCTCACACCCTTTATTATTTTTATTTTTATTATTATTATTATTTCCTCCTGGGATTTTCCCCTCTTCTCCCTAAACCAAAACCTTCAATTTCTTCAATGGCCGCTTCTTAGGTTTTCTTAATTTCCGTTTCTGTGCTCTCATCAGCCCACCCGGTGAGTTCTTCATATCCAATTGTTTAATTTCTGCACAATGAAATTATATTGGAGGTTTATGAATTTGCATGCACGATGATCCTCATTTTCTTAGCGTGGAATTAATGTATGTTGTGTGATTTTGAAGATCGAGATTCTTATTTTCTGGCGTCAATTGATAAATTCAAATTTTGTATGTTCATTTATTTTGTGGAATTTTTATTTTATTTGAGAATCTTGTGTTGGCCCCCTCTGGTTATATGATGTTTGTATTTAATGTGGTTTGATTCTAATCGTAAATGCAGAATCGAATACAATTTTAGGTAAATTTATCGTAACAATGGTGGGAATGAGATTATCGAAAATATGGGAGGATGCTTAATTCGCAATTGAGATCGATTTCGTAGCTTATATAGGATATTATAGTTTTTGATTTTCGTCGTTTCGTCATATGATTATAGAGTTGAATCCAATCGTAGCAGAATGGAAGGCATTTGGAGGATTGCGTTGCATATTTTAGAATTTGAATACAAAATGGTTCAGAACAGAGTCTTGCGTTTAACGATTGTATATATGTATGGACTATGGATACAATTTACCGTTTTTTTTTTGTCTATTTATATGCAGATGAATCACACACTTTCAGAAGACATTGCATGTGGGCCCGGCAAAATGAACTTTGCCCCCAAAACGTCGACCACATCGAAGAAATCCGAACTCGCAAAAAGAAGAACGAATCCCGGCTCAGTCTCTCCGTTCGAAGCTCTTTCTTTAGATAATAATCCAACCTCGAATCTCAATTCCTCAAATCCATGCCCATTGCCCACTCCTAGACCATTCCCAAACCCCGATTATATCGCTACAACGACACTCAGTTCTTCACCCGCAAAGACAACCAATCACAGCTGGACAAGTGGCGGAACTAACAGCCGGAGCGACAGTCTAGACAGCACGACCTCGGCCACGTCATCGTCCTCACTCAAGCCACACACGGGCGGTGATGTCAGGTGGGACGCAATTAGTGCCGCCTCTTCGAAAGATTCTCCACTCGGACTTACCAATTTTCGTCTGTTGAAGAGATTAGGGTATGGAGATATTGGGAGTGTTTATCTTGTTGAACTTAGAGGAACGAGTACTTTCTTTGCGATGAAAGTTATGGATAAGGGTTCGCTCGTGAGCAGAAATAAACTGCTTCGAGCTCAAACGGAGAAGGAGATTCTTGGTTTGCTTGACCACCCTTTTTTACCGACTCTGTATTCGCATTTCGAGACTGATAAGTTTTATTGCTTGGTTATGGAGTTTTGCAGTGGGGGTAATCTTCATACGTTGAGGCAAAAGCAGCCCAATAAGTATTTTACGGAGGAAGCTGCTAGGTATTTATTTTGCTCGCCATTTCATTTTTTTCGCCATTGCTTTGAGTATTATATGTTAAGCTATTACCGAACTGATTGTCGATAAATATATATTGGGTTATTGCGTTTCTCTGAACTCTAAAATGCTTGATATATCATTATTACCTTGATCAATGGAGGCATATATGATTTTTTATGCATTGTTGTCTCAGATAATTTTAAGGTTTATTGCATTGAGCACCCCTGTGTTTATTCTAATTGCTAAAAAAATTCCTCATGTTATAAATATTAGCAAAAAAACCCTTTGGTAGAACTTTTTCAGCAAACTACCCCCTAAAAACTCACCATTTAGGGGGTTGTGTGCTTAAAAGATGCATCATATGGGTTTTTTCGCTAATATTTATATAACGGGTTTTTTTTAGCAATTCAATATAACACAAGGGTGCTAAATGCAATAAACTTGATAATTGTGATAAGCATGCCATGAAGATGGTGAGCTGCTACTTCACACCCCCTTCCTTGTTTGATGTTATCGAATTAATCGCTTAGGTTTTTGTTATAATTATCTGCTTGATGGTTCCTGTGTGGATTTTCGTTTAAATTCTGACAAATCTTTTCGTTTAAAATCCAACCAACTACAGATTCTACGCATCGGAAATCCTATTAGCACTCGAGTACCTCCACATGCTAGGAATCGTCTACCGCGACCTAAAGCCAGAAAACGTTCTAGTAAGATCCGAAGGACACATCATGCTCTCCGATTTTGACCTCTCCCTCCGGTGCTCCGTCAGTCCAACCCTAGTCAAATCATCCTCCGGACATGCACCCCACCCTAACAACCACGGGGGTGCAATCCTAGATGACGAAAGCGTAGTCCGAGGATGCATGCAGCCCTCGAGTTTCCTCCCAAACCTCCTCCCCACCAAAAAAAACCGCAAATCCAAATCCGATTTCGGAATCGGAAATTACAACTCCACCAACAACTCACTCCCCGAATTATTAGCGGAGCCCACGAACGTGAAGTCGATGTCTTTCGTCGGGACCCACGAGTATTTAGCGCCCGAGATCATCCGTGGTGAGGGGCACGGTAGTGCGGTGGATTGGTGGACGTTCGGAATATTCCTTTACGAGCTACTTTACGGAACCACCCCCTTTAAAGGGTCCGGAAATAGGGCGACGCTTTTCAATGTTGTGGGCCAGCCCTTGAAGTTTCTAGAAGCTCCGCAGGTGAGCTCGAACGCGAGGGATTTGATTAGAGGGCTCTTGGTGAAGGAGCCACAGAAGAGAATTGCTTATAAAAGAGGTGCTACTGAAATAAAGCAACACCCCTTTTTTGAAGGTGTGAATTGGGCTCTTGTGAGGAGTGCTTTGCCTCCTTATGTACCCGAGCCCGTTGACTTTAGTCAATTTGCCAGCAAGGATTCGGACAAGAAGGTGGCTGCTGACGTGGACAAAAGTGGTCCCGCCGAGTCGGGTTACGTTGAGTTCGAGTATTTTTAGGATTTGGCGAGAATTCTTGATTTCTATATATTTTTAATATGTATGTTTTTTTTTTTCATGGAAAGGGAGAAAGATGCAAATTTGTACACAGGTTTGGCCTTTTTGGTATTGTGACATTATTATTATTATTATTTTTATTATTATCTGAAATTAAACATTATGGTAATTGGGAACAATGACTTTTTTTAATGAGGGGATATTGAAGAATGTGTTATATTTTATTGTGGTGCTTTGATCTGCACATTTATATCAGGTGAATTTACATTTTTGTTTATTAATTAATGAATTAGATACCTGAATTTAAATAGATAAAAAAGAAATAAATGAAATTATCCAAGATTTTTAATTAACAATTGGAACCAAATGCAAAATTTAGGATACAAAATAAAATAAAATAAAGGGAAAAAAAAAAAGAGAAAAAAGGAAGAAGAAGAAGAAAGAAACGTGGTCAAATGAGCACGAGCATGCCGTGAAACTAGTAAAAGCGTGGTTTAAATTAATAATATATATACCAACACGTTTTTTGTTCTTTTCCAAAAAAATAAAATTAACCGGCCCGAGTTGTATTAAAGCAGCAACTCAGTAGCTGTGGCAACGGCAGAGCATATGCCGGAAAAGCAAAACAAAGCAGTTCCCCTTTTTAGTTTTTTTTCACTCAGTAATCGTTGCTAAAATTCAGTAGATTTCGGATTAGAGAATCAAGGAAGATTGATTTTCGCGCCAATTGACCATGGCCTTCGACAAGATCAAAGTCGATAACCCCATCGTAGAGATGGACGGTAAACCCCCCGCCTTTTTTTTTTGTTCTTCGTTTTACTTTGAATTTCTCGCCTGAGAAATTTTCACTCGGTGATTCCGGTGCGCAATTTAGATTACGTTCGATTGGATTGTGTCAAAAGTGGCACAGTCGCTACATATGCCTATTTGTTATCTCGATCAAATTGCGCAATACGAGAAATGATTTCCTTGATTGTTTAGCAGTGCTGTGTGTGTGTGTGTGTGTGTGTGTGTGTGTTCATATATTTAATTGCATCCTCCCACATATGTATCTGTAAATGGAGAGTGTGTTGCATTGCAGGTGATGAAATGACTCGAGTGATCTGGAAATATATCAAAGAAAAGGTATACATATATATATATATATATATATATATATATATATATATATATATATATATATATATATATATATATATATATATATATATATATATATATATATATATATATATATATATATATATATATATATATATATATATATAGTACTTTTTTTATTCGTGCTTGCAATGAACAGAAATCGTTATACGCGGTTCTTAATAATTTTTACATGATTTTTACAGCTTATTCTTCCATTTCTGGAGCTAGATATAAAGTATTTTGACCTCGGTCTTCCTCACCGTGATGCTACCGACGATAAGGTTACAATCGAAAGTGCGGAAGCTACCCTTAAGTATGATATTTATTTTCATATTTTTTGTAGTTATACGAAAAACTAAAATCAAGCTTCTTACATGACAATTTAAATTCCAATTTTCCGTTTGTTTAGATATATATTAGCAAATATTTTGTCCATTTTTAGTGAAATTTATTCGTATCCAAGGACAATAAGTATGAGTACATGTATAAGTAATTGTTATCGTGGGAGTATTCCTTTTCCAGGCTTCTCTGCATTTAGCTTCTTGATTCCCCTTTTTTGGATACGGAATAGATCCATGTCATCAAATTTCGATTAACGCGAATTCGGAATAATAAAAAAATATGAAATCTTATTTTTCTTCCGTTTCTCTCCTTTGATCAACTTTAGGTACAATGTGGCAATTAAATGTGCAACCATTACTCCAGGTATGTGTGGTTAGATAACAATATCCGTGTTAGTTTTAATCTGGTTCGTCCTGTTTGTATTTAATGTTTGACGTTTTCAGAATCTTTTCTTTTTTGCTGATTGAATAGACGAGGCACGTGTTAAAGAGTTCAACTTGAAACAAATGTGGAAGAGTCCAAACGGAACCATTCGAAACATCTTAAATGGTCGACAAAGTTTCCTCAGAAATTTCAATTTTTTAATCTTCGATTTTTTCTATCACATACTGTAATGGAAATTGTATTTTCACTTGTTGCAGGGACAGTATTTAGAGAACCAATCATGTGCAAGAACATTCCTCGCCTTGTTCCAGGTGTTTATTATGAGTTACTCGGAATTATTTATTTTTTAATAATTTTTTTACAAACAAAACTTAACATTTCTCAGGTTGGACCAAACCAATATGCATCGGGAGACATGCTTTTGGCGATCAATATCGAGCTACTGATTTAGTCGTTCAAGGAGCTGGAAAACTTAAAATGGTGTTTGGTATATTTGCTACCACTATTTATTTCTTACTTTGTAAAATATATTTTTTATATTGCCTTTATTGAGTTTTAGAATACCTCAATGTTGTAGTGCCAACTAGAGGTGACGAGACAATAGAGCTGGAAGTGTTCAACTTTACTGGTGCAGGTGGTGTAGCTCTGTCGATGTATAACACTGACGAGGTTTGAGTCTATATATATATATATATATATATATATATATATATATATATATATATATATATATATATATATGTGTGTGTGTGTGTGTGTGTGTGTGTGTGTGTGTGTGCGTGTTATTTAATATATGAGCCTAATTTTTGCTGGACGAGAGTAATGATATATTTTCCATTCCTCAGTCAATTCGTGCTTTTGCCGAGGCTTCAATGAACACGGCTTACCTGAAACAGTGGCCACTTTACCTTAGCACCAAAAATACCATTCTAAAGAAATATGATGGAAGGTAGTCATTTAATTTTTGTCTAATTTTCTAACTCCACGAATTAAAATTTTCGTACATTTTATTTACTGCTTATTTTGTTTTCCTAAAGATTTAAGGAAATTTTCCAAGAAGTTTACGAAAGAGAATGGAGGTCCAAATTCGAGGCTGCTGGAATCTGGTAAAAAAAATTAAGTTTATCAAATAGAATCGAAACCCGAGTTTTAATTTTTTTATTCCCAATATATATATATTAATATTTTGTCCCGATAAAATAGGTACGAGCATCGTCTAATAGATGATATGGTAGCTTATGCTCTAAAGAGCGAAGGAGGCTATGTCTGGGCATGCAAGAATTACGATGGAGATGTTCAAAGTGATTTTTTAGCCCAAGGTTTGTACTTTGTACAATTCTTCCACATGTTAATTGCTTTACTCAATGCATAAAATTCGATCTTATAAAAAGTACTCGCTTCTCTTGATGCAGGATTTGGATCTCTTGGTCTGATGACATCAGTGCTGGTATTAAATTACTATATTACCCCTCTTTCCGAACTTTTTTTTTTCCTTCAATGCCGTTTCTAATTTTTTGTATATTTTCTATAGGTTTGCCCAGATGGAAAAACAATTGAGGCAGAGGCAGCACATGGCACAGTTACACGTCATTATCGTGTTCACCAAAAAGGAGGTGAAACGAGCACTAATAGCATAGCCTCCATTTTCGCCTGGTCACGAGGGCTTGCACACAGGTATTGATATTCATTTTGTTGATTCTGATGGTTAATTGAGCCTCGTTTGGTCAACCAGATTAACCGTGGTTAATTAATTAATTAGACCTGATTTAATGTTTGGTTAGTTCAATTCCGTTTGGTTCGGTTGTTGCCAATTTTTTCGGGAAAAAAAAAAAAACGAGACAAGATAATGTTGCATCATTGCTTGTATATTTCTACTTGGTCCTCTTTTTATATTTTTATTTATAAATTGTATAGGGCAAAGTTGGATGAGAACGCTCGACTATTGGATTTTACGGAGAAATTAGAAACTTCCTGTATTGCGAGTGTTGAGTCGGGAAAAATGACCAAGGATCTTGCTATTCTTCTTCATGGACCAAAGTAAGTACAACAATTTTCTGTTCAATTATTTTATTATTATTCGATTTAGATGAATATTTTGGCATGGCTGTGTTTCTTGGCAGGGTGAATAGAGATCAGTACTTGAATACTGAGGAGTTCATTGATGAGGTTGCTGAGGAATTGCGAGGTAGACTGTTGAAAAGGGCAAAACTGTAATTTCACCTAAGCTCTGTTGAGAAGGGCAAAACTGTACTTTCACTCAAGAACTTGATGCCATTACATAATTTCCAAACAGGTTATATACATTGATGCTATAAAGCAGGAAATGTAATTTAATTCGTCAAAAGCGTGTTTTGTAGCAGTGAATGCTACTACTGTAGTAAATGAATGCCCTCTTTGAGGTCTTATTTGGAAAATATTACTTAAATACCCTTAGTAATTAGCAACATTGTAGAAGGTGTGGCACACATAATTATTTCATTTAAGAGATCTAAAAACTACTTAAATAATAATAAGGGTTAAGTTTTACTTAAACATTTTCATGTAATTAATTAAAATTTGAGCTCAATCTTTTTTTCCTGACAACTCTAAATCTTGAAATAACTGATAAAAAGAGTGATGTTTTTGCATATCTTGACCTAGTTGATGAAGTACCCCGTGGTGCCAAATTATTCAAATTTCGTTGTCTTAAACATAGGTAGTGCAAAACCTAGGTAATGTTGATGAAGTACGTGATGCCAAATTCTTTAAATTTGGTTGTCAAAACTTAGGCAACGACCATCAAATTTTGTTAGGTTGAACTTTGTTGGTCTGAGTTTGGCAGCAATTATCACTTGATGAAGGTCCAGGTATACATGGCCCACAATCGAATGTTGTAGACACTTGTGTGTGCTAAATGCACTGTAAATCTAGAATCTACATCTTTCTTACCATCAATTAAAACAAGTGGTAGCGTCTAGGTTATGCAAACAGTATCAAAGCTAACCTTACAATTGTTGATGAGAAAACTGTTAGCATGAGTTTGGCACGTGTGTGATTTATACAATGTATAATCCTATTTTAGAAGTTTGATGTTTGATATAAAAAAGCAAAAATAAAAAAAAATAAAAAAAAACATTACCCCTTTGCACTAAATTCATTACTAATTTTACCATGACATGCCACGTTTCAATTGAATATTGGTAATCATCAATCATCCCCTTAAATGCTTTTGCCCTAACCCAAAAGTTGGGCTTTTTTCCAAAATTATCACAACTTTTCCGGGTCATTCTGTAATTTTCATAAACCTCAAGGACTTCAAACCAAAATCGGTAGTTAAGCCAACTGCAACTACAAATACCTAAGTTGACCTTAGTTGAATGTGAAGCGAACTTCAGCAGCAGCAAGCAGAATCGAATAATAATGTTGCTGCAAAATTCCAATTTTTGCCGGATTAATTTCCTGCAGAATGGGAATAATTTTTCTCCCCCAAATTCGCGTCTCCATTTCTCGAAGAGGTACGCCGGAGCTCCTGCTCTACGTTGCGTCTCCGAACTCGCTTGCCACAGTATTTCGATCGGAGACGTCTCCGGAGTTTTCCACAACAAGGTCCGGTTTTTTTTGTACGAAATGCTGTTTTAGGTTTTGAATTTTGTTATTCAATTTTCAGGTTTGCTGATTATATATATACATGTGTGTGTGTGTGTGTGTGTGTGTGTGTGTGTAGGTTTTGGTAGCAGCAGTTGTATCGGCGGCAATTGGGCAATTATCGAAGCCGTTTACTTCGACTTTATTATATGGGAGGAAATTCGATTTGAAGGCTGTCGTTCAGGCTGGAGGGTTTCCTTCTACACATTCTTCTGTAATTTTTTTATTAATTTAATTTAATTATATTAGAAAAAAGTAATGATGCTTATATGAAGTAATTAGTTTTAGTTGATGGTTGATTTTTAATCTCAATTTTGTATTATGTATTCCCCGATTCCAGGCTGCTGTGGCTACTGCAACTTGTCTTGTTCTTGAGAGGTGTTTACACTATTCTGCCCTTGATTACTTCGTTCTAAATTTCGTATTTTTTTGTTCCGATTATGTTGGAATCGATGGTATTTCTTTGGGGTTTTGTTACACCTGATATTTTCACACACACACACGTACATGTGGATGTGTGTAAAATAGGTAGTTATCTATACACGTGTATGGTGAGATCTTACCTTGTGAAGTTCACCGGGTGTAGCATCTAGCAAATCTTTCTTCGGTATAAAATGTTGGGACATTGTATTTTGATTTGTACTCGAATAACTTACTAACTGTAGGTGAGTAACTATCGTTTGTCCTGATTTTATTACAGGGGATTTTCTGATGCAATTTTCGGAATGGCTGTAGTTTATGCTGGCCTTATCATGTACGATGCACAGGTTCGTATGCATAGCTTTTAGCTTGTCTCTTTTCTCTGTCAATCAACTGACTGACATGATGCCAAATCTGGAGTTAAATTAATTTGATTCGATAATAATTAATACGCTAATTCCCGATTAAGTTTGGGATTCTGGAACAGAAAATTGAGGACATACTTTTTTCTGTAAAGTTGGTAATCGATCAAATCTTACTTTTGTAAACTTAAAAGAAATGAGCGTAAGGTTATTTAACAAATTGATTAACTAACTTTTGTTCGTTTGCTTAACATTAATGCTTATTGCAGGGAGTTAGAAGGGAAGTGGGCACTCATGCAAAAGAACTAAACAAAGTTCTGCTAAGATCCACACCATATTCAACTTCTTCAAGAAACGAGGCCGATGATTTTACCAATTCTTTTTCCAGAGAAGCATCTTCGAATTTGGAGAAAATCGACCCCGTTTTCTTGGAAGAGCAGAGTTCTTTAGAGAAAAAACAAACGAGTTCTTCTCTATTATTGAAGTCCGACGAAAAGATGCCGAATAGTGTAGTTTCTGATGTCAATGTAGGAAGAGAAAGGGTGGCGTATAATTTATCGCCGTTGAAAGAATCGATTGGCCACACGGAAATCGAAGTTGCTGCAGGTGCTCTGTTAGGTTTCTTGGTTAGTATAGCAATATGCCCTTATGTATAAATACTATATATACTTATGATCCAATTTTCATTTTTTTTTATGACATTTAATTAAGGTGACACTATACCGTAAGTTTCATCGATCTCATTATTAATAAAACTTTTCCTTAATAAGTTTGCACTCATGTTTAATTGCTGGATTCTTCATTTTAACGAAAACTCCATGAAATTTCTGAAGCTAGGATTTTTGTTGTGTTGTGACATATTTATGTGTTATCATGAGACCCTTATCTACTCAACATGTACACCAAGTGTGATATGTGGTTGTTCTTTTACTTCTTTCTCCCTTTAGATGATTTAATTTTTGTAAAACAAATAAATAAAAAAAAATAAAATAGCTAATTTGACAATAGGAATTCACTACACACAAATTCTCTACAGTTAAAACTAACATATAAAAGCAAAGATCTGCCATCATGCATCCATCTTTATGATAGAACAATCTTTATAAGCCAAAAGTGCTTCAAATTAACGAAAAGGTTCACACAATTTTTCGTACGAAAGTAAGAAAGAAAGAAAAAAAAAAGACTACTACTTGGAATATCTCGAATAATCTGGTTCGAATCCAAGATAAGGGAATGGAAATCTCTGCCCAGGTTGAACTGAATGATCAGCAACCTGGGACAGCTGTTGATTAGCGAGCAACTTGTCCAGAAACGACCAGTCGCCGGAGAATTTTTCCGGCAGGATGAGACCGCCGGCGCCGCCGGAGGAAGGGCCGGCGCCTCCAGGTATTAACGTCAAGAGGTTCTGAGAATTCTGCAAATCCACCGGAAGTGAGGAGTAAAACGGAGGTGGGGCGGTGTCGGGGCTGAGTAACTGCGGTAGTTGCATACTGGAGCTGCTGCTCTGATTATGATGATGATGATCGAATGTGTAGTTGTTGTTGTTGTTGTTGTTGTACTGTGGTTGATCGGAGTTCTGTTTGTGATGGTCGAATGTACTGCCGGGTAATGCAGTACCGAAAGGTACAACCGTCTCTTGTTGGTCGAGTTCGGATTGGAAATTACCTGATCTGGTGTGGTTTTTCTTCTTGAAGACCCTGCAGACCACCCATCCATCTTCCTGAAAATTTAATTAATTATTTATCAGATGTCGTACCACCGCCGAGTACTAATCGGATTCAAATTAGCACTTCCGGAAACATTCTAATTTTTTTTTTTCGGAATTAAACAATTTCATTCAAAAAAGTTTAGGAAATTGGAATTAAAAAACTAGTTCGAAAAATCAGAATTTTTCGGATTTGAACCGGTGGGATTCATAAGTTCCATTTTCTCAATGACATAATATATAAAACACTTAATAATATTGATATTATAAGTGTAATTTTCTAACAAAAAAAATGCTTTTTTTTTGGAAATTAAATCGGATTGGAAATCGAAATCTATTATGTATTCCAATTCCGTTCGAACAAAATCGAAAAAATTGTACGTACTTGGATTTGAGTATTGAGATTATCATCGTCAAGGCGATACTCGTGCATGATCCAATCGGTTTTATGACCGTGAGGCGCACGGCCGGTGTAGAAAACCAGGGTTTTCCTCATTCCAATCCTCTTGGCCGAGTTGCTGACGTGGATCCCCTTGTCCCTACCAGTCGCCTTCCAGAAGCCCGCCGTGGTGGCTCGGTTCGTGCGGGTTCCGGTCGGGTACTTCTTGTCCTTGTGGCTGAAAAAATACCAGTCGTTTTGAGGGCCCGACCCGATTCTACATTTCTCTGCAATTAGTCATATGTATTAGAAATATAAATATTAAATGATAAATTTTACTAACAATTGTAATCGAAACTTTGAATTAATAAATGCATCTATATAATGTGTATAAATTAATTTAAATCTTTTTTTTCATTGGTAAACCGAATAAACTCAAGATCCTCTAAAATTAGTGCTCACATTCTTTGTAATATTGGATCTAGTGAAGGTTTGATTTTTCCCCATGCAAATTTGCACTCAAACTCATAACTAAAATCACATTATTTTCCTTTTAGTCCCTAATCTATGCCTTAATTATATCAAGGTACTTAAAGTTTGTGTAGGTAAGAAACTCTTATAATTAACTAATAATTAAGAAAAGAGGGTTAATAAATAAATAATTAATTACCTTTGAGGTCCCATGGCTCAAGCTTGTTGAGATCGACTTCCCGAATGACATCCAAGTCGATGGGTTCGTACGAGACCTTCTTCCTAAGGTAATAGTACAGAAGTTCTTCGTCTGTCGGGTGGAATCGGAACCCTGGTGGAACTGACAGCTGTCCGTTTCCGGCCATCATATTAATGTAAATATTCTGATATTTATGATCACTTGTTTGTATCGACTAAATCGATCCTGTATATAGAAAAAGAGAAGTGCTTAGCTTATGAGAAAAAAAAAATAAGAGAAAAGAATTAAACTAGGGTTTCTTATTTCTTGAAATATATTAGTGATGAAGTGACACAAGCTAAGGCGGCCCTGTATCTAAATCTTTTCACCATGATTACACACACACACACACACACATATATATATATATATATAAAAGATCATGGCAAAGACAAATCATGCAGGAGAAGCCACCATGCATGAACCCTAACTCATGTATAAAATGATAATGATGTGTGTGTGTATATATATATATATATATATAATAATAATAATAATAACATAAAATCATGATCTTGTTTAAAAGGGGTTTTTCCGAAAAAGCCTTAGAAATTAAAGATAAGATTGTCGAGTTCATATATATATATCGATACGCAGAGGTTTCAAAACCATGACTTTAATAAGAACTGGATATTGGAACTTTTCAACATATAACCTTCATGTAAATGCAAGCTATGAAAAAACAAAAAAAGAAAAGAAAAATGGATATATCATGCACCTTAATTAATTCTCCTGCAAGAGAAGTGAGGACAAAGCAGAAGCTTACGGGCCGGGCCGGGGAAGAAAAAAAAGGGAGACAAAGGTAGAAGACAACCTTAATTTACTAAGAGGAAGAAGAAAACTATTTTAGGGTTTGGTTGAGTGCCAAGAGGGAAAAGACAAGAAAAAAAAAAAGGCCAAATCAAAATGGGAGCAGATGGTTTAGCCAATTTCAAGCACACTTATCGAGTGCTGTTAAAAAGAGGAGCACTCTCACCCAGATTTTAAATAAAAATAAATAAAATAGAATAAAAGTTTAATTAGGTTGACGAATTATTGCAAGTTTATAAAATGATCTTTTTTTTCTTTTCTTTTTTTAGCTGCAGATGGGAACATAAACAAATTTTATGTGCAGAAATGGCAAATATATTCCAACTTGGCCGTGTACATAGTTCTAAGTATATATTGAGGATTACTTTAATAAATAACTTAATAAAAAACATTATGTTATGGCAACAAATTCGTTGCGACATTGCAATGGAACTGTAACGGTTGTCTCTATGAACAGTTCTGTTGACCATAAAAATATTCAAATTTAAGGGTTTATAATTAAGAAAAAAATAATCCACCTCCAAGAATATTTTTATTTTTTTATTTTTCGTAATGTAATAATTAATTATATTTATTTTGTTGGTCAATAATTGAGAGAAAAAAGGGGGGAAAAGTAGACCATCTATTCACTGCCAGACATGAAATTAAATATTTTTTAAATTGTTAACTCGTGGGAGAAAATCAAGCATTCAACAGTCAAAACTAATATCCATGTTGCTTATAATTAATTAATTAATTAATTAATTATAACCAAAGAAATTAAATTTTAATTAATTATTAATTAGAGGGAATGAATACAAGAGAATGAAAGAAATTCCCTTTAACTTCATTCTTGTTCTGACTCTAAACAGTGTACACACAGAGACACGGTAATTGTGGAGATGTGTGTGTGTGTGTGTGCATATTATATATTATTATTATTAAAATTAATTAATTAATTAATTAATAAATAAAAATGAGATAAGATGGAAGATAGTTTTGACTGAGAAATTAAAATAAAAACAAAAAACAGATAGAGATGGAGGGATAAGTAATAATTGACAGTAATGCAGATATTCATCACTTATATGCGCCGAATTTTGGGATTAGGGTTTCCCCTTCAACGACATTTTTTTACCATTTTTCCACCGTTGCAACGAAAACCTCGTCTCGCAGTCGATCGTGGTTTGTTCTATGCTATATTCGATGAACTATTCATCGAATTTTATCCTATTATATACACATTTATGTATGTGTGATGTGTGTAAATTAAAGGTGGGAAATAATTATATTTCACCAAATATAGCATTTACGAGGCAAATCCTCGATAATATTTCGAATTTGTAGAAGTATACTTTATAGGTCCTTAATATATCATTCTTTTGTAGGTCAATTGGAATTCAATTTCCTTGATTAATCATCATATTAATTATATTAGAGTAATTGATATTTTATGTTGCAATTCAAAATTTTCATTTTGTATTATATATTAAGAATGCTTGCTCTGATCTTGTAGATGCTATATCGTAAGATGTTACAGATGCTACATCCGGTAAATGTTACATCATGTGGATTTTTATTGTCGACCTAGACACCAATATGGATGTGCATGTTTGTATATAAATGAATCGTTCAGATATCTCCGAAGTATTTTACCCGGTGTATCATAACATAAACCTATTCCAAAACCTTATCAATGAGAAACATTTTCTATGTGTGTGTGTAATTGTATGCATATCAAATTTAAAAAAAAAAATACTAATTTACATCATCATATACACATAAATGAAATAACCAAAATATATTTAGAATATTGGTAAAAGTACAACATGAGAGAGAGAGAGAGAGAGAGAGAGAGAGAGAGAGAATGGAAACAAAAAACAATTAAAAGAAGCAGAAAGTGCGCAAAATGTACACGTTCCGATCCAAAGCAAAAGGACGCAATCCCATGCACAGCTGCCTCGATTCTCTTAATTAATTAATTTATTAATTAGTTTTAATTTCTTTCAGAGCCAAACGGATTCCTACGCTACCTCTCTCTAGACTCTCTCTCTAAACTTTCTCTCTCTCTAGCTAGTCAAACACGAAGATCGATTAACCTGCATGTATAATTAGAGTCTATATGTATATATATAGATACAGATTAGAGTACATATTCTTAAAGCAATATATGGTAGAGAAGTAGTAATACGTAGCTGGCTGTGGTGGTGCCGTCGCCTTCACGAACACTTCACACTTTCCAGCACACTAATTAATTAACATGCATCTTCCTTAATCAACTTACTCTAATTAATGAATTAATGAATCTAATGCTTGCATCACAATCAGTGTAACTTCATTAATTAATTAATTAATTAATTATATTTTTTGACAGATCCTATAACTCAATCAATTGCAGAAACTTCTATTCTTTAACAAATTCAACACAAATTTATCGAATACACGTTTATCCATACATCACACATCACATACATTTATATATATAAATATATTCAGTTCAAGAGTGGAAAAGGTATAAAATTCGGAGATTGAGTAATATAATTACCTCGGCTTTTAATTAAGTTTGTATTTACTGGTTTGATAAATTGTAGGCAGAATCTTTACTGATGGGTTCGAAACGCCAATTGGGAAGCTCGTTTGTTGGTTCCAATGGAGTGATGTGTAACGCGTTTTTATGATATTTGTAGAGAGTTGTTCTGTGGGCAATGCTTATGAATGTAATCCCAGCTGCTTCTATTAGCTGATATAAATGTGCCTGCAAACACAAGTTTTCGTTATAATTAGAATGTTACAACTACTAAGTGATATATGTCTCGGACAACTCTATAACTAGACTAAGTATAATAAGAAAGATGCAGTTTTTCAAATATTACGCTAATTCCAGCTAATAAACTGCAGTAGCTAATCAGATAATAACCGCGCCATTAAAAAAGGGGAATACGAGACGTACTCAAAAAGTTTCATTAATTTTTTTTTTGTTTTTTACCTCATTGGCTTCATCTAAAGCACTAGTTGATTCATCCAAAAGAACCAAGTTCGGTTTTGATAGCAACAAGCGTGCAAATGCTAGACGTTGCTGCTCACCGATGGAGAGGACACTCGACCATTCATATGTGCAATCCAGATCGAATCTTGATAATATATTGCCAAGTCGAACATCTTCTAGAACTTTGATTAAATCCTTGGCTGTTGGCTTTGGAGGATATGCATCCATGTCTTTGGTTCGCATCAAGAAAGGTAATGAATCTGTTAAATAAAAGTCAGTAAATTAATTATCTCGTAAATTAACTTCAAAGCAGAAATGATAAGTTATTTTCGTCAAAATAATGATTTTCTTAAAAAGACATTGACAAAGTGAAAACGGCATCACAAAAAAAAATATGTCACAATCTAAAACATAAGACAGTAGAGAAGGGCATTCCAGACATTTCACAAGTGTTATACCAGTTGATGAATCACCATCTGACGTGGGTGCTGGATCTACACTCCAAGTAGGATAGAGCAGTTGCTGACGAAGTGTTCCCAGTACCATGTACGGTTTTTGAGGAAGGAAAAAAGCAGCTCTCGAATTTCTATCATTGTGTTTGTCGTAACCATGGTTGCCTTCGTTAACCACAGTTGCCTCCGAAGAAGCAGCATCTGCAGAAAGGCACGACGAAGTATCCACTGCGTTTGTGTCGTGGAATCTCACAGTTCCCTTTCCAAAGCTCCACAGACCAGCTACAGCTCTCAGTAATGAAGTTTTACCGCTTCCACTCGGTCCAGTAATCTGTTAACACAGCTATTTACCAGAAATGAATCCATTCTTTTTATTCGATAAATCTCTTAAGCAAAAATCTCAAAAGATGAAATATAAATTTTACTAACCAGCAGATGTTCCTTCTCGCTGATTTCCAACGACAAGTCTCTAATAAGAGTTGCTTTACTTGGAGTCATCAGAGTCAAATGTTCAATCATTAGTAATTTTGAACCTCGGTTGACTGCCACGGATCCGTTAGATGCACTAGAACTGTTTATATCACAAACATTACGAACAATTTCTTCCATTGCCTCAGTGTCGGTTCTGTTTTCGCTACTAGTTAAGAGATCATCAAACTCACCTGGCATTTGGAAAATGTCAAAACCATTTTCAGTAAATTCATGGCGTTTGTGTTACTCTGATCAAGAACACTAAAACGAAGCAGGTGACTGAAATTCAGTAACTTCAAAAAATTTTAGCCCTTACATTATCATATAACATATCAAAATTGTTACTTAACACCGCAGATATACAATATTGGAGTCTCGTGGTAGTGTGTCTTAGTTAAAACATAACATTATCAATAGATCGTAAAGCTACTAACACACATATCAGAAGACATTTCTTAACAAGACGGAGTTTCTCTCATTAATCATGAAGACTGTTAATATAGATTTAATAAGGTTATTGCTTATTGCTGACTATTACTCTTCAAGATAATTAATGGATGCGGTCTGAGTATACTTTTCCAAAGAAGAGAAAATAATGTACCTAGTCGATCTATGACAGCAGAAAAGGCACTGATAGCCTGAAATTGGTAAACAATGAGGGAAAAATCTCCAAGTATGTGATTAAAAGCAGACACAGACTGATTTATGACTCCAAATTCAATTTTTCCAGCGAAGAACATAGGTGCAACAACTGCTGCAGGAAGAATCTGGATCAGGTATCGGTAGCCACTGGTAAAGAACTCCAGATTTCTGGAAGATATCAACAATTTCTGTAAAGTTAAAGATGGCACAGAACGAACATATGAGTTTTTGAATTATGATAAGCGTACATTCTTGTGAATTTGCCACTGAATCTACAATAACTCAAATAATGGATGTCAGGGAATCAAAGAATCAATGAATTAACAGTGACACATAAAAAGATATAGGATGCAGATATTGTACTTTTCGAGTTACTTCCTTCATTTGCAGTGTTCAGTTACTTCTTTTCGTTATTTAGAAAAGAGAGCAATAAAATAATTACAACAGCTACAGTTCACTTCTCTGCCTCCAAATGACAAGACTCCAATGATATAAAAGAAACAATCAGTCTCTTCCACAAAATTAACATCGTGTATTCATATTATAGTTTTCATACAACATGTTAAACTTGGCTCTAGCTTTCTAAATTTAAAATTACAGTTTTCAAAATATCCTTTGCATTTTATTCAATTATTCTTGCTGAAATCTAACATCAAGTGTTTGTTCTGTATACATTAATACATATGCTAAGGGTTATTTTACAGTATAGTTTTATGGGGTTCACTTAGGAACAGTTGGAGGAGCAATGTTGATCAGAAGGTAAATGTAGTTGTATATTTAGACTTATATGTTCTAAGTTATGCAGATTGTCTCACGAGAAAATAGGAATTCAGCGATAATACTTCAAAAAACAAACATAAGACTTCACATACACTAAGATTATCAAATGCGCTTCTGAACCGTTGCACCAGTAGTTGCATCTCATTTTCCTCCCCATTGTAAAACGCAATGGATTCAGCATTTTCTCTAACGCGCACAAGTCCATAACGAAAATCTGCTTCTTTTTTCTCTTGCAAGAAGTTTAGAGTCACCAATCCCTAAAAATACAGTTCTCGTGTCAAAAGTTAATATTCTTATAGACACTAATGCAAATTATATTAGAAAAAGCACTTGGAGTTGCAATGTACGAAATTGATAAGTGTAACAATTCGTGATTGTCAAAGATGAAAAGTTACCCTCCCGAGGAAGACACTGATAGCTGTTCCGCCAAGTGAGTAACCGAGAAGTATGAGAAAAAGCGGTGGATAAATACCATATAAAATGTTACTAAAAGATATCAAGTCCACAGTCGCATTGAAGAATGTCAAGGAAAATGCAAGAGCTGTGCCGGTGAAAGCACTTAAATCATCAACAATCCGCTGATCAGGGTTATCAATAATTGATTGAGATTGTATTTTGTAAAATGTTCGATTCTTCAGATACCGATCCATGTAATAACTTGTCATCCAAGACCTCCATCTTAAAGAAAGAGTATCTTTCGCATAATCTCGCAAAACAAAAACCTGAAAAAAAATCAGCAGCATGATGCCTAGAGAGAGAGAGAGAGAGACCAAAAAACTATACAAACACAATTAAGGCAGATTCTAAGTCTAATTGTTCAAATCTTTTCAAGTAAAAGGAGATTTTTAGTGCGAATGGAAGTTTGGCATTTAAATCACCCGTTCGTATAATTACATTGCATTTAATGTCAGGCAAATGAAATATGTTGCACATTTCCCCACTACAAACTGACATCCAAATATGTCGGAAAATCATACGAAGATGATGAAATAAGATATAACAGATATGCATGTGAACTAAATGATCCAATAGATTACAAACTAGAGAAAATCCGTCCAATAAATCAAACTTGTTTCCGATACTAGACATCATAGTTGCGGCAAAAAAAAAGTCATAAAAAACTCAGAAAAGACAAACTAGAACAATACCTAAAAGAAGTGGAGCAATGTGCTCACCGGAATTCCACCAGCGAAACTTGCTAGGTAGTACATCAGTTGCTTAGTGAACTGCTCTTGATCCTTATCTTCAGTAAACCCGAACGACACGCCAAACACAACCCTCGTATCAGCAAATTAAAACATCGAAAAAAATGCAGTAAACAACACTAAAATAAATACTAAAAAAAAAAAGATCAAGAGTCATATTACTGGCTAGAGCATTATAAAAGTCACGGCCGAGAAAATTGAAGCCGACGCTAATTCCAGTTGTCCCCAAAGTGAGGGCGAAAACAGTAGCCAGCCGCCACCTGGCCTCCACCTTATCGTCGGAGAACCAATACGGAGCAGCCACTTTCCAGAATCTACTCACTAGCGTTTTAACATCAGGAACTTTTCTTTGAGCCTCTTCCTAAAGATACACAAAAAAAAAAAAAAAAAATTGGCACATTTTTTTCGTTGCGTAATGAAGAACATTAACCCTAATTTTCCATTAAAGGGGGGAAATGAACCTGGTTACTCTGCGGTGAAGCCAATGAGGAACGGCAGACGAAAGCTGAGAAGGAATTGGGTTTCTGACATCTCTTCCGAGAATTATCCACGGAAAACGAATGCTCAGGCGACAATGTGAAGCAGCGCAGCTGGTGATGCTTGAACTTGCTGCCGCCGCCGCCGCCGCCGTGGGATTTGGAGATGCGGAAAAAGATGCTGCGGGTGATCGAGAAACCTTGAGCTTTTTTATACAAATTTTGCGGCGGGAGATGGGCTGGGGATGATTCCATTCCTATCATTTTGTCCGGCGGTTGTACGGCTATCAGAATCGGGTCATCCGCCGGCGAGTTGATGTTTCAGGTCGGCCTAATTGGAGATTTTGAGAAAACAGCTTGAAATTTCTGCCATTGGAGTAGACATTTTTCCTGTTGAATTTCTTCTTCACTGTGAGAAAATAGGAAATTAAATTATTATCATCATAATTCGCAGCTGTGGAGATGCCACGTCATCAGCTCCCGCTATCTTCATACTCCAATTATCAGGTATTTTTTGATTTATTTTGGATAAATTATTTTTTATTTAAAATATATTTTTCTAAATTGCGATTAAAGCGTGAAAAACACACGTGAAATATCTAAAATGCCCTTCATTAATTAATTTTGTATTTTCTTTTTCTTCTTCATTTTTAGTTATAATATGACAAAAGACCCCTTATCTTCCCAAACATGTGATAATCTTCCCAAAAATTACAACACAAAATTGAAATTGCCCTCTTCTCGCGCGCACTATAGCTCCGTCCATCTACATTGTTGCCGTTTTAGCTCATTGTCTGAAAAAATGGATGTAATGGATGTATCTAATGATAGTCAACAAACATGCGTTGAAGTGCTAGAAGGTTGTCGCCGCCAGAATCACCATCTCTTTGTCATTGCAATCCAGATCGATGAGATTACGAAGGAGTTTCTTGCTACTATAGCAGAAAAATGTGGAGCTACATATTCAGATTCATTAATTCTTCAGTATGAATGAAAGACTGTCTGTATGTGTCGGTGACAAGCGATGAAGACGTGCGTACAATGTAAGTTTCTTTTATTATTAATTACTCTCTAAAGTTTATTTTATTATTGATTATTCTAAAGTTTAGTATTTTATTTTGTTAAGATGAGAAATTATTAGCATAAGATGCAGAATATTAGTGAAAATTAAATTAATCCCATTTAATCAATTCGGCCCAATTAGGCCCATATGAGAATAATGCTACAACTAGGGCTGGGACTGGGTTGGTTTTTATCCACCAACCGACCCATTACCGACCATATTTTTAGGTGGATAATCAATTTTTAACCGACCCACCGGATCGGGTCGGAAATTTCAACCAACCCATCTATAATGGGTCGGTTGGTGGTTTCTAATATTATCAAAAGCTGGTTGACCGATAATTATCGGTCATCCAACTATATTATTAAAATCTTATTAAAAATATAAAATAAAAGTCGTGTTTTCTTAAATGATTATTCAAATTGTGAAAATAATCAGTATTTTAAATTTTAAAAACAATCGACAAAGGAAAAAATAAATTGACATAAATCTTCCACCGGTTTCTTCATGCCTAAGCTTAAACAAGAAGGCCACAAAACTCCACTAAAAAACTCTAATGCATGTTTGAAATTACTTTGAATTTTCTAATTATATTTTTTCGTTAAATTGTTATTTATTATTTTCAACTGATAAATGATGATCGCACCGTGGCATCACGCTGAATGTGAATATTTTTACTCCAAAATTTGATTTTTTTTAAGTGAACTAGGTGACGGGTATAAACCATCAACCAATCCATTCCGGAACCAAATATTCGGTTGCCAACCATCAACCGACCCAGAAAGGTTGGGTCGGCAACGGTTTTACAATTTGAGCATAAATGGTTTGATGGATGGATCGGTTTTTAGGCTGGTAATCGACCGACCCAACCCAGTCCCAGCCCTAGCTACAACACAACAGCTAATAATATAATAATATAATTTATAAGAAAAAGAACCGTTGCCCATTGGGACACAGTTTATCATATCTCCTAACGGCTAGTTTTTTCAGTCATTCAATTCCTCTTATTTTTCCTTACATTCGATCCGACGAAACAACCTTCTTCTTCTCTCTTCTTACTGTCGAAAATCTCTTACAGTGAGTGGTTTTTTTATGTGTTTCTTCCATCCCAACGCATTCGATTGTTTCATAGTTACCCAGTAATCACTGAATTTTGGAGCGGAATTATAAATTAAAAAAATGGCTGAACCAACCGCCGATTCAACGGCGGCGGAGCAAGCTCCGCCGCTCACCATCCGCCGTCCACGGGTGAGAGAAGTCAGTTCCAGGTTCATGTCACCTTCAATTCAGTCGAACTCAACCCCATGCCCTTCCGGTTTGCCGCGCTCCAAATCCACCCACCACCGCCACCCTACCGCCGCCGCCGATGAAAATCAAATCCCCGAAGTCAATCGTAGCTTCGAAAAATTCCCCTCTTCAATTGCACCAACCGCAGGGAGGAAACCGCACCAACAGCAGCGGACGAAGCAGCAGCAGCCGCCGCCCAAAGAAAACGGAGATCCCAAATCCGATATTAGGGTTTTATCCAGACCCGGCACACCTATTGCTATGGGTACGGACAGAGTAATTCCGTCTAGATACAAACAACTTTCGAACACCCCGTGCCGTTCGAATTCCCTGAGTAGCAGCAGCAATGGCTGTGCCGCCGTCACGGCGGCAGCCAGGCTGCTGCAAGAAGCCACCTCCGATGTGCAGAAAAAGCTCCCAAAGATTTCAACTTTGAGCCGCGACGATATGTACACCTCTAGTAGCACCAGTAATTGTACTACTACTACTTCAAATCAGGGCAGTTCTTCGTGCCCTAATTCTCCACTTTGCGTGCCGAGTACTAACAAGGTACGGAATGTTCCGGATACCCGTTCGTCTATGCCGGATGCTGGTAAATGGCTTGGAGATAGGATTTCTAGCGGCAAAATGGGAGGTGATTGTGCAAGATCGCTGAATTTTTCGTCTTCTATGAAGGTTGGGGGAGGTATTTCTTTACCTCCACATCCTTCGTCGTGTATAAGGTCGGGATTGGATTTGAGGAAAGGAAAGAAGGGGTCCAATTGTCAAGAAGATGTGCATTGTCTTAAGATGTTGAGTAACCATTATTTGCAATGGCGTTTCGCGAACGCGAAAGCAGAGTCCTCCGTTCTTGCTCAGAAGCAGGAAGTTGAGGTTCGTTTGCCGTATTTTTATCCGTCGAGTGAATTTATTGTCTCGATCTTTATCGTTCACTCTTGAAGAACATTAGCTAATTTGATAAAGATAAGGACTTGCTGATTAAGTTGGCTAGAATGAAACTCAACTTTCTAGATCTGTATGCACATCACTGAATCGAATCATAGCATTTGTGTTTGCTAGCCTATCCCGTGATTTGAAATATTATGTTGCATATTCCCCTGTTTCTTGAATTCATACAAATCAACCCCTTTTCAAATTATCATTTAAAATTCAGTTTAAAAGATGTGGGAGTGTTTATCCCTGTATTAAGCATTTCGGTCATTCTTTTTTTTCTGTTGTCTTATGCAGAGGAAGTTGTATTCACTAAACGGAAAGATATCAGATATACGTGAAAATGTCAAAAGGAAGCACAGTGAACTTGCAGTATTGCGACGAATAAAGACTTTGTCTACAATTGTTGAAGCTCAAGTAAGCTCTCAATTGTCTTATGCTTTCGGTTTTCTCCATTCGTACTTTGTGTCGAAAACTCACGTGCTCTTATTGTCCTGTTATTAGATGCCGTATCTTGATGGATGGGCTGATATGGAAGAGGATTACTCTGCTTCTCTAATAGGCACGACAAATGCATTGGTCAATTCCTCAACCAGACTTCCCATCAGTGGAGAAGTGCGGGTGAGATATTCTTCTATTCATTCTCTACTATCTATTTTAAATTACCAATTCCGATTGCCATTATATACATGTTTCGATTTTTGGTACCTTAAAATAGACTGATTGATGAGAGGAAAATTTTCCAGGTTGATGTTGGAGAGCTAGGGGAGGCTCTGCACTCGGCTTTCAAGGTGGTCGAATTGATCGGTTCTCATATTCAGGGATTTATTCCAAAAGTAAGATAATTATCAAGCATTATTTGTTTGTTTGATAGAATTTGAGTTATTTCTCTCTCAATGAATCTTGAACAAGAAATCTGATATATCTTCAAACCTTTTTCGTCTGTGCAGGCTGAAGAAATGGATACGTCAGTATCTGAACTAGCAAGGATGGCTCGTGGAGAAATAGCTCTCGTTGAAGAGTGCGGTGATTTACTATCCAAGACATCTATATCTCAGGTACATAAACGATACATACATTTTTTTTTTCCGAAAGCTTCCTTTGAGTTTGCTTTCTTTGAAGAAATGTCTTCTCTTTCGAATGTGTGGTTTTTATTTCGTCGTAACCTGACTTTTATATATTATTCTTGCAGGTGAAAGAATGCAGCCTAAGGAGTACTGCAATACAAAATAATAGAAGTATTCAATATCAGAACAACCACGAGAGTCGAGATACAGAACCGTAGAGAGAATCACATCATCCGAGTGAGGTTATGCAATTTATATATACCCTGAAAAATATTGTAAAATCAATTTTGCAATCGAAATACAAATAAATGATTTTTTTGTGAGCAAATTAATTTTGGCTTCAATTGAAGCCCTTGAAATATGTAAATAATGTTCTTTTCAGATATAGAGCTTAAAATATCGAACAAATCTCCGCTATTCTTTCTTCTCGTGTCTCGTTAAATGGCTCAGTATTCGGGGGTGGAAATCGAACAAATCAAAAGTAGCACTTTCAGGAAAAAAATCAAAAAGATCAAAAATCGAGATGTTCCAATAAATATATATATTTAAGAAAAAAAAAACATAAGCATAATACGTTTCGACAGTCTGTAAATATAGCAATTCACAACACCAATAACTCTGCAGGGCAAAGTTTTCACAGAGCATCAATGAGTAACGAAGTTCGTCTCGATTCACACTTGATTCATCTAAGCTAAGACTATTATTGACAACGTGTAGTAACTCTGCTAAACCTAATCTACATCACACATTCTCTCCCAAAGCAAAGCAAAGCCCCCTCTTATTAGCTACTTCACTTTCATCTGAATCCATAAACATTAATAATACAAGTACGGTTTCCATATACAAATAACCTTTCTTTTCTGCTTTTGGTGCTGAGTTCGATAAATCTTCTGTGCTGAGATTCGGCATTATTCAAAGATAAACAACGGATTTGACCAATAAAAGCATGCAGAACTCACAAATGGTTGTTGTATTCACATTAGTGAGTCCAGGTATGAATAGTTTCTGCATCTGTTGTACTGAAGGAGACTGCCATAAGTACGATCCCAAATCCCAATGAAGAGTGAATCTGTATCGGGACTGAACGAGACTCCAGAAATCTCACCAAAAAAGTCGATCTCTTGTTCCTTTTCATACCCGTTTTTCACGTCGTAGACGTGAACAAAGTCGGCTGGTTCAGCCATAGCCATAAACTGACCGTCGGATGTAAACCGGATGGATCGGATGGCTCCCAAGTTTCCTTTCAGTACAGCAACGGATTTTGACAGGTTTCTGAAATCCCACACTCGAGAAGTTTTGTCCTGGTTTCCAGTGGCGAGTGTGTAACCGTTTGGGTGCCATGCAGAGGCGAAGGAGAAATCCAAATGTCCACGTAGATGCGAAATAGTCTACAAAAAAATAATAAAAAAAATTTGAGGCTTCATAGTCCCACGAAAAAAATGATGAATCGAATTAACAAATTTTGATGAACGAATATCGCTTGAAGGAAGTGAAATAGGTACCTTTCCAGTTGATGAATCCACCAACATCCCGTCAAGATTGTCCCCAACAATCGCAATAACTTTACCATCTGGGCTGAGAGAGGTATGCTGTAAATAAACCAACAAGTTATTATCATGATATGCATTTATACCATTAGCTAATCAGCTACTACACACATAAAGTCCACTTCTTACCACTCAGGCGTGTAACTACTACATCACAACCATATAGATGAAAAGAATTGCAAAAACAAAAAATCAATCCAATTCAGAATGGAAGCAGACAAATGCTCACTGGCACCCAAAAACACTCGAGGTATTCTTTTGGAAAGTACTCTAAACGAGTATTTGCTAGTACTGGAGCAGATTTAGGGACACTAGATAATATGCCAACTTCACGGTAAGAACTTAAAAGTGGAACGATTGGAACTCTCAAATAGAAGCAACAAACAAAAAGCTAGGCCATCATACTATGATGACTCAAAGGAAATAAAGTGATATATTTGCATAGTCAGAACGGCAATCAGTGCCAACTTGACAACTACTAACATAAAATTTATTCCAGGTAAAGCCACACGTCATAGTCTACGTGAAGATAAAGCAACAAACAAAGAAAATCTTAACAAGTTTCTTCTAACAACTTCTGATCATGCAAAGTTTGAGAAGACATTCACAATATGACATGTCACTGACACATTAGCAACATACTCAACTGGGTTTTCCTAAACTGCTACATTTATCAGGTTCCTGCCAAAACATAATAGCAACTCAAAAGCCAAAATAATCACAACTTGGCAACATGTACAATGTCAAGGAACTACCAACCGGATACTTAAACACCCATCTTTTCGATTATTTTTTTGTTTGCCCATCGTTTTCCATGAACATAGTTCTATTTGTCAGCAAGATAAAGAGAAAATTGTTAAAGGAAAGAGCTTACATTAACAGGCCATGGGTAAGAGAAATGCTTAACAAGCTGAAACCTCTCCATGTCAAAGTCCCTTACTCCACCATCGTTATTTGAAGCTGTGAAATGAACAGAACCACTGATGGCGGTTCAAAAACAATTAATTTCAGAATATCGATTGATATTAATGGCAACTAACATTTTTTTAGCACTTGATGTGGATGTGCGTGTTCAAGTTTCTAAACAAATTTAAATTTAAGCGATGTGTTTGTTAACACAATTTTCTTAAAATTATGCCTCGCATTTATTCAAACTACGAGTCAAAATAGGTAAATTCATAAAAATAAAAATAAATAAAAAAAGAAAAAAAGAACTTCAGAGATAAATATGGAGAAACAAAACGAGGAGAGAGGAAACAAGTTACTCGTAATAAAACTCTTACGAGCTAATTAGATGCGGCCCACTTGGGTACTACAAACTGAGGTTATCAACATTTTGATTTATGACGTCATCACATTTAATAGCTCAAAAAACCACTTGGAAAGTGCCCACGTGAGTGACATGAAATGTTTCTCAATTATATTACGTCAAACCGTATCTAGTTTCTGCTTGTGAGAGAGATTAGCAAACGAAATCATTTGAATTAGTGTTGGAATGGAGAATGAGGTTTACCTTGGACCATTATAGATCTCGATTGCATTTGTTATAGCATTATCATCATAAGTTGTCCTCGTACAAAAGCTAACACCAGGTCTATCTAGATCCTGCATTGAAAGAGGATTACTTCAACGAGCTATCTACAAAAAAAAAAAAAAAAGATTCTAAAAGGAGCCTCTACTATTGCTCATTAATTGGAGTTGAACATCTCTGTGTTAGCATATAATCTATAGGCCAAGTAGCTTTTATTCCTTCTATAACAGAGGAATGTAAAGAGATCAAATAGCTGATTTCAATGAGTTCCACCAAAAGTTCACCATATCGACGGAAGACATTAGCAAAAAAAAGGATCGAGTTCATGGGGAAGGTCACAAGCATAAAAGTATTATGATGGATTTTATTAGCAGTAATTGTCATATGAGAAAATACACCATATGCGAGGATCAAAAGACATATCATGGCAAAACTATCATAAAGAACGAGCAAAGAACGAGCATTACCTTGCAAATAAGCTCACCCTGGAATCCCCCAGCAATCAACAGATTATCACGAACTGCCAGAGTACTTATTTGTGTCTGCGTAAATCCTTCCAGTAAACTTCCGGGGTGTTTCTATGGAACGGGGTAAATCAGACCAGGTACGATAATTCCAAAAGGAAACAAGAAAATATAAATAAAATGTTTTGAACACGTGATTCTTTTAAGAAATGCACCTCACGGGGAGCCACATGGCCCGAAACATTAAGAACTTCAGTTTTTTTGGAACTCAAGGAAGACCAGTGAATGATGGAATAATGAGACATGAGATAAACATCATGCATTGACCTCGCCCAAACGAGATTCCTTAACTGCAAAGACAGAGAGCAACGTCAAATAAATGTCAAATCCATATAATTTGTACAGATGTGCAAAAAACATATTTCAAATAAATGTCACATCCTCCATATATACCATTCTAACAGCATCAATGTCAGAAGAAAACAAAATCAAATCTATTTTCACTAAAGAATGGTGCAACAACACAATCTAACTTAAGTATAATAGAGTATTTCTATTTTGTATAGCAGCTAACATAGACGAAAAACAACTGAAAACTACTCCAGAACCCACAATTGAATTTAGAGCCACTCAATAAGAAGCAACTGAAAACATCAAATCAGGGCATATCCTTTACCTGAAAATGAAGAATGGTCGATTTTACAGATCTGGTGTTCTGCCAGAATTCATAATACGATCCACCTTTCCTAGTTAACTTGCACTCCTGAGAAATCCGAAAGGAAAATCAAGATCAGCTAAGAATTCAATTAAGGTATAAGAAAGCTGCATCCCTAACATTTGAAACTGAATCTTACCTTTAGTGCCTCTCCAGATTGAGGTATATTCTCATAATTCTTATAATGCTCTAATCTAGTTTGCCTATACTTCTCCCTGGATATGCTTAACCTCTCCCATGGGATTCCTTGGATATCCTTCCCTCTTCGTGCCTCAGCGGCACAAGTATCTGTAATCTTATGGTCCTAATACCACATTAAGGTTAATTTATATCGCCAATAACCAAAAAAAAAAAGGTAAAATAAAAGAGAATGTACTAATTATACACTGACCAAATGATCGTATTCATCCTCTTCTTCATCAACATCAGACTCCGAGTCTCCCATTACTCTACCAGCAAAAAGCACGTCTTCATCCGCATCGACCATCTCATCGACATCTGCCGCCGGGTATTCCATAACTTCCTCATGATAGGACATTTCTCAATTATTCAACTTCTCTCACTTGCTAGCTGCACAAGAAGCAACAAATTAACAATTTGACAGCATTCACAATCACTGAAAGTCGAGAGAAAAGACAACAAGCTTAAATGTAAATTAATCAAATGGAAACAATAATTAATCATACAATTAATCCGCTTTCAACCGCCATGGAAAAGGCAAAACAAAAAACTCAAAATTTACATAAAAAAAATCTCCGTGAATTTTCCGTGACCAAACAGAATCTGAAGCATCAAAATCGGATACGAAAATGAATATAATAATAAATTGGTGAATTCGACCAGAACATCTCAGAAACGAAACCCTAATCGGAAAAAAAAAATCGACAATAAACAATAGAAATTGAAAACTGACCAACTCTAAATTCCGATCTTCAATTGATTGATATCACTTCTAGCGCGAGAAAATTGATTGAGGAACAAAAAAATTAAGAAGAATCAGAGTCTCGTGGCTCCGATCGAGAGGAAATCGGGCGAGATCTCCGTGCCTCGTATGAAATTCAGCGACGGGGATCTTGTCTGCAGCTCAATCTGGAAAGCGCTAAATGTACGACTCCCAGCCGATTTATTTCTTTATTCTAATAAATAATATAATAATTCATTGTGGTAAACGAATTACGGTATTTATATTTTTTATTTATTTATTTATTTATTTATTTATTTATTTATTTATTTATTTATTTATTTATTTATTTATTTATTTATTTATGTGTAGTTTGGTCTGATTTATTTATTTATCTCATAATGGATAATTATTAAGGACTTTGCTAAATGGCCAGAATCTGGTTGGCCAAAATAGCATTTATTTCATTTTTTTGGATTTTTTCATATATTTAATACCATTTATGCCCTTAGTTGTTTTGGCTCCAAGATTTATTCATAATTTCTTTCCTAATTTCCCTTCCTATTTTCCCTCCTAAAATATAGAACCCCTCAATTCTAAATTTTTAGTTTTCACGTACAGTAAAAAAAAATACATTATATCAATTCTACAAGTTTCAATAATAATAATAATAATAATAATAATAATAACAAAAAATGACGAAATATTATTATTATTATTATTATTATTATTATTATTATTTCTACAACAAAAAAGGACGAAATATTCTCATCTACTTCACTATTTTGAAAATGGGTTGCAATGAAGAAAACTTAATCGATTCAAATCTTACGATTAACAATTTGATTTTTACGATATTTACGAATTATATTGTATTACTTTTTATGATATAATTCAATTAAAAATATATTATACTTTAATTATAATTAATTAGTGTCACTAATATGTTCTTGTCAACACTTTTTCCCTCTAAAATATAATTATACCACGTGTTAAAATAAAAATAATAACATAGTGTTTTGAGTCTACTAATCATCTATATAGTTTTATTTTAAAGTGGGGAGATTAATTGGAGTGAGTTATGATCTATTTTTGTGAAAATAAACATCATCTACATTTTTGTTATATATATATATATATATATATATATATATATATATATATATATATATATATATATATATATATATATATATATTATTGTCAATAATTGTCCTATATACAATAATCAATAATATCAATACGTTATATTTTATATGTATATAAAAATACACGAATATTCTTATTATTTCCATAATAAATTATATTTCTTTCATCTACAAAAAAAATTATATTTCTTTCACACTTTTATTTTATATTATTATATAATTTTATATTATTATTATTATTTGAAAAAATAATTTGTAAATATTATAATAATATTTTAGGAACAAAAGTATTTGAGTCAAATAAGTTTAACAATTATACTGGCGTCATGTACTTTTTTGTCATTATAGCAATAAACAGACCTTTTATTTTCAAACACTTGAACAACTTATAAAAACAAAAAGTAACTTATAAGCTACATATTCAAACACCTTAAAAAATAATTTTTAAAATAAGATCTAACAGCTTATCAGCTCCTAAAACATCTTATCAGATGTAGGAACTTATAAGATGTTTTAAATAAACTTAGCCAAACGGGCTCTAAATCTTACGATTTACAATTTTTTCGATTTGAGAAAATTTAAGTTTACTGTATTTTTTATGAAAAATTCAATTAAAAAGTTAATTAGACTTTGATTATAAATACTTAGAGTGTGTTTGGCTAAGCTTATTTTAAATAGTTGATAAGCAGTTACGTCTGATAAGATGTTTTAAGAGCTGATAAGTTGTTGCATCTTGTTTTTAGGATTAACTAGCATTTTTTTCCGGTGCTATGCACGGGATATTATTTCAAAAGTGAAAAAAAATCAATTTAATACATAATAAAAATAGGACATTAACATAGTAAAATTTAATAATGTTGTCTTATTCATATTTTATATAATATTAGTTTATTTTTTTAATTTTACATATTAAGATTTATAATCCAAATATATAGGTTTAAATTTAACAAATCAAATTTTTATCTTTATCTATTAAGATTTGAGATATATTGATGAAAAATAGGAGATTGATAATTGTCGAAAATTAGTACAGAAAAAAATATTAAAAATAAATAATTACAGAAATACCATTAGGGTTTTTTAGGGTTGCCCATCGTTTCTTTCTTTTATATATAAGATTTGAGGAAATTTAAGTTTACTGTATTTTTTATGAAAAATTCAATTAAAAAAGTTAATTAGACTTTGATTATAAATACTTAGAGTGTGTTTGGTTAAGCTTATTTTAAATAGTTGATAAGCAGTTACGTCTGATAAGATGTTTTAAGAGCTGATAAGCTGTTGCATCTTGTTTTTTGGATTAACTAGCATTTTTTTCCGGTGCGATGCACGGGATATTATTTCAAAAGTGAAAAAAAATCAATTTAATACATAATAAATATAGTACATTAACGTAGTAAAATTTAATAATGTTGTCTTATTCATATTTTATATAATATTAGTTTTTTTTTTAAATTTTACATATTAAGATTTATAATCCAAATATATAGGTTTAAATTTAACAAATCAAATTTTTATCTTTATCTATTAAGATTTGAGATATATTGATGAAAAATAGGAGATTGATAATTGTCGAAAATTAGTACAGAAAAAATATTAAAAATAAATAATTATAGAAATACCATTAGGGTTTTTTAGGGTTGCCCATCGTTTCTTTCTCTTATATATAAGATGCTTAATTTATTTTAATTAATCCTCATAAGGCATTTGTATTTTTAACTCCGACTTTTCGCACGCCACGAATTTTAATAAAATAAGTGAGCTTGTATTAGACGTAGATTGGTTTATATTTAATTTGGTCAATTCTCTAATTTTTTATATTATTACATATATTTTTGTGAATCATGGAAACTTTTATTATTAATAATATCAAATATGAAAATTGATATAGATGTTATAACTTACTAATTTTTTTTTAATTTTTTTTACACTATGTTATTTCTTTATAATATTATATTTCATGATTATCTGAATTATTTTTTTAGAGAATAAAAAATATTACTTCTTACTATTTGATTTACGGTTTAACAAACACGTGTATACTAATATTTTTTATTCCAATTTTTAAATTTCAAAAAAACCAATTTTATTTACCAAATTGGAATACATATTCTAGATTCCGATTTTAATTTCAGATAACAATTTAGCAAATTCCGACCGCCATGAGTGCCGCCGCGCTGATTCCGGCAACGAACACCGTCGCATTACAATTTCCCTGCTCCGCGACAACTCGGAACAGACGAAAACCCCTTGTTTCAGTCAGGAGTTCACTAGCAATCGAGACGGCGGAAGACCAGGCGTCGTCGGAGACTCCGCCGGAACCCTTCAACCGCCGCCTGATATTGCTCCGCCACGCCAAGAGCTCCTGGGAAAACCGTTCCGTCAAAGGTACTACTCCGTTTTTATCACTTTGTACCCAAAAATGGAGTGGATAATGTGGCAGTAGTGGTCAGTGGTCACTATTAATTTTTTGTTTGGATTAATCGTCTCAAATAAATTCAATTAGCAAATTTTTATATTAATTGATGTCATTTAATAGATCATGATCGGCCTTTAAGTAAATCTGGAAGGGATGATGCCATTAAACTCTCGAAAAAGCTAGAAAAGTTGGGCTGGATTCCTCAGCTTATATTATCTAGGTTTGATTTTCCTCTTAATTTTCTGTGTAAATAAATTCGAATTCGTGATTTTTCGAAAGTGTTTTCAGTTATGTGGACTTTCCTGTAGCGATGCACAGCGAACGAGGGAGACGTTGAAAATTATGCAGGAGCATGTACGAGCTTTCTTGGAAGCCGAGGTGCATTTCATTTCAAGCTTTTACTCGATTGCAGCCATGGATGGACAAACTGCGGAGCATCTTCAACAGGCTATTCGTAAATACTCGAGTGATGAGATCTTTACAATAATGTGAGTTCTGCTGATATTTTTGATAGCTCTTTGCACTCCATTTATAGGGTGAAATATCAGGAGAATGTATCGTGCACGTGTTTGAAACTCTTTGGTATTTCGAAAACACGATAATTTTCTGAAACCACGTAAGTTTATGGTTTATTTTGTTTTATTGCTAATTTCTGTTTGGCTCGAGCGCAAAAAGAGCTTAGGCTGCGTTTGGCTTGCGTGATTTGTAATGAATGGATTTGAAATTAGTCCAAATAGGGAGGATTTGAAACGACTCCAAATGGGAAGGGATTTGAAATCTCTCACAATTGGTAAAAAAAAAAAAAAAAAAAAAAAAAAAAAAAAAAAGAAAACCTAAAGAAAGCTATGAATTTGAAATTCCTTGTCAAATAACTCAATGGATATATTATTGTAGATTAGAAATCCCGCTTTCAAATCCTTCCATCCTAATGCACCCTTGGGCGATTAGAGTTATTCAAATGATTTCGTATTTTATTTACCCCTCTATTGTAAGAATCTTCTCTGCTGTTTTCTTCTTGATACTTTTTACTAGAAAACGACGAATTCATGAAAGAGGTTTGTATTCCGTCAAACTATTTTGTAGGTGTATGGGCCATAACAAGGGATGGGAGGAGGCAGCCTCCATGTTTTCCGGTGCCTCCATAGAACTGAAGACTTGTAATGCTGCTTTGCTTGAAGCAACTGGCAAATCATGGGAAGAGGTCACTCAATACTGTTTTTTTATGTTGTAACATTTCATACTTTGTATAAATCTTTGTAACAAGGCTACGTCTTACGGGCTTAGAACATGTGTAGTTACTGGTATGCTCCAACGGTAAGTAATGCGAATTCACAGGTGGCATTTAGGTCGGTGAATGAATAGCCGATTTCTTGTTAGATAGTAACACTAATGACTGTCATTTTGCACTTATTTTTTTTCGGTAGCTCCATCTAACATCATTTGTTTTTTGTTTAATCTCACAGGCGTTTTCTTTGGCGGGATTTGGTGGTTGGAAGCTGAACGGCGTTGTAAAGCCAGATACGGATCTATAGGAATTGTAAAGCACCATCCTAGCTCTCTTTGCACTTGCTTTGTCCTCTTATTCACGAAGGATTAAAACACGAGCACAAAAGACGGTCTCCGGAAAATATCACATTCTCCGTATAAATTTTGCTATGGCTGCAAAGAGTCGAGTACGAGCGAGAAGACAGAGATGTGACTATTATCAATGGCTACCCTACTGCAATATATTTTTTATTCGATTTACAGAAGTGCATTCCTTCATCAGCAAAATCACAATCACAATGGAGATTTTAGGACCATCCATGGAACAAGACAGCTAAGGTGGAATTTTAACCTCACCATTAAACTCTGCTAGAGTTTTCTTCACTGTGATTTATGTTCTTCCATGAATATTTGTTAGTTAAAAACTTCTAGGAAATATAATGGCATTCGCCTTGCGATGACAAGGAACGATTTCATCGTGGAAATATGGTGTTCAACCTTTTATTTTCCGTATATAAAGATTACTTCTAATATGATTCAGAAAAATCAAATTAGAACCCAGGTTATAATCATAATGCGGTTGCTACTTCTTTACAACTGTCGAATACTTGAATCATCGCATTTTAAGACTTCCGTACAAAACCCCATGTTAATTTGAGAATAGGAACATTTAACGGAAATGAAGGGAAGTAAGAAATAACAACCTTAACGACTGGGGAACAATACGAACTAAAATTAACCAAATTGTAAATAGAAATTGCTCATAAGAAGTACAGCATGGATAGGGTCAATGCACAAGGCATTAAATAGAAGAAATGCCGAAGCCATTAGGTCTACTTGTATACCGACTCTCGCCTTTGGTGTAAGAAGAGTTTCCACTTTCGCCATGTGAAATGTCTGCATTTTAAGCACACCCGTTTTACCGAAAGCTTCATGCACGTCCAGAAATAAAAGCTTTCCAGCACCTAACAATCTCATAATATCTCTCTAAGTACCAAATTATGTTTTGTTGACCTAATAAAGTTAGTGTATTTTCTTTTTGGAAGCTAGACATACATCGTTACTGTGACAAATGAGCAAGCCCCTATTTTTGCTACGAAATTAGAGGTTGCTACCGGAGATTCTCTCTAACTGATTTTCGCTGCCAATAGATAACACCGACGAACCATCAAACTGCTCTCCAGTCAAGAAAATTGAATTTTGCTGCTGGTAAGGAGGGCTCAAACTTGACTCCAGTATCGAATGTGTCTGGACAATCTCTGATTTCGTAAACGCCACATCACCGCTGCCACGTGGCCTTTTTGTGGGCCTCTCGTTTTCGATCTCGAGTGGTGGGCCCACCTGACAATCGGAATCGGGGGTTAGTGGCTCGTGGTGAGATGAGAAGGATTCGTCGATGGAAGCACGTTCTTTGATGGGAATTTCGAGAAAAGGTGGCTCGGATGTTGCTGCAGGGGTGGCTGGATCGGTTTTGTTGTCGGATTCAGGGCAAATTTCGTCTGTGGCTGGTGCAGGAACGCCCGAGCCAGGTGCTTCTGAGAGACCTCCGGCGAGGCGTTGCTGTTCTTCGATTATCTTTTTTAAGTACTTTCCTTGGGCTTCTATCCGCAGCTGCAGCTGTCTTTGCACCTGTAAGATTCATTGGCAGTTTCGTAAGCTTCCAATTTTTTTTATTTTTGTACTCACGTCAATTCGAATTGGTAAAAATAAAAAGGAATTGACAATGCGTTTAATAACTTTTTAAATTAGTGTGCATCAACCTAAAACGACACTTAATATGAAACGGAGGGAGTAATTAATTTGGATTATCCTGTTAATACAATATGTACGAGTGCATGTTTGAAAATGAAATAAATGAAACAAATAAATCCCCTGCAATCACACCATCATATTCATGTATGATATATTGTAGAGCCTAGGGTTGCGACGAAAATAATAGAAAAAAAATATACCTCCAATTGCTCATGCAATCGCTTCTGAACCTCCATCTGCAGCTTGAGTGCATCGGTTATCTGTAGAGAGCTATAAGCAGCGGGAAAAAAAAAGTGTATTAAAGTTTCATGTGGGATTCTGTATACTACTGTATTTGGGTATTAGGGTGATTAACTAAAACGAGAGAGACTATAACAGAAAACCGATCACACAGACAATTCAGAACAGGGAATAATGATATTTCATAGATAGTTAAAAATTTAAATAACAGTCATGCGCATCCATGAGTGATTCCGAGGGATGATGATTTGGTAACGGAGATTCCACTTACGATGAACCATCCAAACTGGAAAGTATGTCTCCAGATTCTTTCTTTTCAGCTTTTGTCCCTTTTAATTAAAGAAGAAATAAATGTATAAATTAATGACTCGGTAAGGAGAATATACATAAAAGAAATTCTCTAAATTTAGAATAACGATCATCTAATTGTACAGATAACCTACCATCTGAAGAAGAATCTGGAAGATACTTGGCGAGTCTGTATTTCTGTTGGCAAAAGTAAAGTTAGTGCAAGCTGCAGAGCTGAATAGACAAGCACGTAGAGATAGCAGCAGTTTGAAATGGATTTCATGGTACATACTTGTAAGTGGCTTTTTACATGGTAAATTGTCAGCCCTTGAACTCCCATAACTCTAAGCACACCTTTTGGAGTTGCCCCTGAAATATAAAAATAAGAGATCATAAACATTTCTTGTTTGAATGATTCTATAAATGAAAACTGCCGTAACGATGTCTCCACTGAAAACATTAAAGAAAATTTTATTTAATTCGACAAATTTTCGACGCTGGAAAATAAATATAACAAGTGGTTTATTCTTTTCCACCACCAACATGAGGGCAAGGAAACCAATCCTTATACATGATCAAAATGATGTTCACTAAAATTAACATGATCAAAATGAAGTTCTCCAAATAAAAGTGAAAAGAACTTACTGTCGGGCCCACCGAGTTGAGCTACAGCATCAACAAATCGCTCATGAAGTTCATGTGTCCAACGAAGCCGCTGCCTAGATGCTAAATTGGAATTATTACCTCCACTATCCATCAAGCTGGAACCAAGGGTTTAATGGCTGACACCTGAACAATGGGATTCCTGTGAAAACAGCTTTGGATCGATACATAATTCATTAGTCTACGATGGCAGGAACGAAGTCGTGAAATCCACAAATGCATATCTAAGAGTGTCACTAACATATCAGTAGATAAAACACAGTAAGAGTAGAGTATTCGAAACTTCTATAGGTAAGGGCATGACGCATTTAACTTAAATTTTTAAAGCAACGTGGACGGTTAAAAGGCGGAGATACATCTAAAAGTTATATTGTTTGGTCAAGATAAATCTTATCATAGTGCGAACACATTAACTTCTTCCTTTTTCTCGTACTTGAGTTCGGCACACGGTGGGGAAGAGTGACACAAGAAACCAAGTGCCCCTCAAATGATTGATGATGAGCTTGTTATATGCAACTTGAAATAACTATGATAAAGTCTCGAAGCCAATTTGATTTCTACGTGAAAAACGGTTACATGAGCATGCATAAGCAAGATGGTATTATTGAGGAATTTAAGGAGATAGGATACAATTAAAAGGGACTTTGAATATGACCGCGCTCTAGATGAATGGATGTGAAGTGTTGGTTCCAACAGGTTGAGTTAAGACAGTCGAGCACATTTAATGTAGTCTATAAGTTAATTATGATATTTCTATCAACGCAGACCCTTATACATGCTTAACTGAAAATCCTTAGTTCAAAACTTTAGCATTGATTCGTTAACTTCTTTCTGTCTGCTGTTTACATTTAATGCTTCCAACGGAACCAGCAATGAACAGCCCAATTTTTTTAAACATATAGTCTTATTGGAGAAAATAATACAAAAAATGTTGATGTCGACAGTTTAAAGTAAAGTAGTAATTTGAATATAATCAATTCAAATGTTTCCACTTAAAGACACTGATTAGGGTAGATCTGGTAATAAACACATGCACGTGAACTACATTTCTCACGTAAATGAAATAGCTTACGTCGTCATTAAGCTCGCTTTTCCATTCCTATCCAAATCAATCACTAATATTAGTCGAAAACCTTTCTTGGTTAATCTAGCACATACCTAATTAAGTTACACACCACACTTCTGTAAGATTGCAGTAAGGACGTCACGTCGCACAATCTTGTAACCTTCCTTCAACCATTAAACTTGTAAAGACAGTCGCAAAACCGAGTTTCCGAAAAATGAAGAGAAAAAACTCGTGCGAATTTGCTCTCATCTTTCCAAAGTAGAAGGTATAATAAGTCTAACATGATGTTCCCAAACTCTTCAGGAAAAATCTTAAACTCAAAATTAACAGAAAAAAATAGACAATAATTATGTTAATTAACTAACCCAAACTCTTCCCTGACAATAAAATAGTACAAATTAATTAACACACCACATAAACTGAAAAAAGAAAAACCATATAAGCATAACCGCAGATTTTTTCACTTTTTTTTTTTTTTTTTATTTCTAGCAGAAAACAACGACAGCATTTCTCAAAACAAAGAAACAAAAGAGTTGACCAAAAAAAAAAAACACCAAAAAAAAAAACAGCATGTAATTCCACGAAAGCGGGATGAACTTCCGATTGCAGTAATTAGCGAAAGAGAAACAATTCTTACACAGATCTGTGGAATTCGACGGCGGCCGATCCTTCAACGACACCGGTGCGGCGCAACCACAGTAAAATCCAACTGCAAAATTCAAATTCCGACGAATTTAAAAAAAAAAACAAAAAAAAAATCCTCAGAACGATGAGAATTGAGGTGATGAAAATTGGAAAATGATTGCTTGTGGTGATTTTCAATTATCGGGCAATGGTGATGAATACTGAAAACAAGCGGTATTGAGCTAAAGATACCTCTGTATGTATTCTGAATAATTCGGAAAGTAGGGGTATTCTCGTCAATAAATTGTATTTTTATGGTTCTTTATTTAAACTTTACTCTCTCTCTCTATCTATACGGTATAATATAATATGCAGTAATCAGGTGGGGAAGGTGTGTTCTTTTTTCTTCTTTTTGGAAGCTTATTAAATATTAGGATAAATTAAGAAAAATATCTCGTGTTTGGGTAATTACATCCACTTCCCTATAAATCTTCTTAGTTCTTACGCATTCACCCTTATGATGTCAAATGCAACATAATCTTCTACTTTCAGTGGAACGTTCTCTACTTTGTACTCGTTTTGTGAAAAAATACAGTTTCTGATACACCACAATCTGAGATTTACAAGCCAAAAGACACAATTTATGATCATCTTGTTTTCAAAATGTGGAGCTCGAATAGAGTAAAACGGGTATAAATTAGAGAATATTTCACATATTTTAGAAGATTCCACTAAATTTGACGTCAGAATGGTGAACGCGTAAGAAAGATTCACAGTGGCCGTAATTTACTCTAAATATTATTTCCATTTCATGTTATATATCGTTTGTTCCATATTGTCCGTCGTTTTAGAATTCTATCGATGCATTTTTTTCAAATGTTATATTTTTTAGTCCAACTCTCATAAATATTAACACACACACACACTAGATTGAAAGTCAAGGTCGAAAAATAGTCAGCCCAGACAAATCACAAGGAAATTTAACAGAACATCAGCAACTAAACAAAAGAACATGGTAGGTAAAAAAAGGTCCATTCTTGATCTGAAAACATCAGCAGCTCCAAATTTACAACTTCTGTCAAGTTAGTTAAACTACATTAATTCCCAGTTCTCAGATTCATAGGATCTAGAAACCTTGCTTCAAACCGCGTTGAAAAGAAAAAAACACAAGCAATTAATCGAACTAATCATTACACTTTTATACACCACACCCTGCAATTCCATGGGAATTGCTAACCTGCACCAGATGCAAATCCGGTGTATACGCATCAGACTCGCCCCACACAAACGAGGCATTCGCCGAACCTGTATTGATCACTCTTCTCTTTGAAGAACCTTCCGGAAGAAATCCAACGCAACTCTCGTGGGAAGTAAGACAACTTTCGGTTCCTTTTCCTTCGTAACCATCTCCATCGTTACTCGTATCTGCAGCTCCAAGAATTTGATTCGCAAACATTTCGCATGCTCTTTCAAGCATAGCCATATACCTGCTCTCAGCATTTTGACGAATCTGCACGTGTTTTTCAGCCTGTGTAATAACAAATTTTGCAGAACCGCCTTAGTGAGAAGATCGTATGTAACTTTTGATTTTTTCAAAAAAAAAAAAAAAAAAAAAATCGAGCGGAACTTACTTCGACTTGCAAATGTAGTTTGCTTTGAACTTCCATTTGTGCTCTCAATGCCTCCTTGACTTCATAACCCCTTAGATGTCGTTAAATTCTTATATCAGTCCCTAAAGTTTTATCTGAGGCAATTAATCGAAGCCCAATTTAAAGAGTATAAACTCTTACATATTCATGTCAGATGATAGCAAGTTCTGAGGAGGGGTACTGGCACGGGGGCTATCCAAATGGTACGAACCTGAAAGTCTTCCCATTAGATTAAAAATAAAATAAAAGAATTGGGTTCAGTATTTCGATATCGAAATGGAAAACATCATATTAGAAGTTTTCTAAACCTAAGTTCTTATGATATGAAGTTAAACTTGATGAGTTTTTCCTATAAATTAAATATCCTTATTTGTAGGATTTTAGGCTTGCACGAGGCATCCCAAAAACTCTTCATTCACTCCTTTCTAGAAGGTATTATTCGGGAGCTGATAAAATATACGGAGATGAATATCTTTAAGCCTGAAATATATTTAGGCATTACCCTCCAAATTCAAATTATTTTTCACACAACCGAGAAAAAAGGACCTACCATCTTTCGAAGCCTCACCGAATTCTTTCCCAGATTGTTTGCCTAGTCTATATTTCTGCAAGACGGTGTAATAACACGAGCAAGTTCAGTGAAGCAAAAACACGTTTATAGAACAAAGTAGACAACAAACCTGGAGATGACTCTTCAAATGAAATAGAGTCAATCCTTTAACACTCATCGTACGCAGTATAGCCTTTGGAGTAGCTTCTGCAGATCCATAATCAAGTTAAATTCGATCCAAAAGTTGAAAAATTCACAAATCTCTTACAATTTGCTAGACTGGGCGTGCGATTTTGGACAAATGTTTTTAAATTCACTAACTCGAAAGACACTGGCTCGAACAAGTGAATACAACTTAATTAGATTTTCGACATTTTTCTGCCTCAGACAAAATTCTCTCACCAAAACCAAACGAATCACGAGTTATATGATATTTTCAGCATCGAATTTCACAAGACGATGAATCCGACAATAAATCACAACCTCAATCTCGTAATTCATGCACCAAAATTAAGTAAAAACATAAGAGAACAAAATCTTCACATCCCAAAATTCATTAGGTACTTCCTACTGTCAAATCAGTATTTCATAATCTGGACAATTCCACAAACACAATAATAATAATAATAATAATAATAATAATAATAATAATAATAATAATAATAATAATAATAATAATAATAATAATAATAATAATAATAATAATAATAATAATAATAATAATAATAATAATAATAATAATAATAATAATAATAATAATAATAATAATAATAATAATA